TTCGATTAAAATTCATTCGCCGCCGCGCCGGAGCGGCCGCCGCTTCCCCGCCAGCAGGGAGCAGCGCAGGTCGACGCCCACCCCCGCGGCGGCGACGGCCGCCGCCACCAGCGTGCTGCCCGTCATCCTCCAGGCGGCCAGCATGTAGCCGGCCTCCAGCGCGCGGCTGAGCGCGGCGACGCGCGCCACCTCGTCCGCGTGGCCCAGCCAGGCGGCGGCCACGGCGCGGAAGGCGCGGCTGGCCTCCGCCGGGGTGTGCCCCCAGCTGGGCAGTACCACGCGGTAGTACCGCTCCGCGTTCTCCGCGGCATCGCGCACCACGGCGGCCTCCTCCTCGTCCGGCGCGACGTCGGCGTAGGCCGCCGCGCCGTGCCAGGCCGCCACCATGGCCAGGGGCAGGGCCGCCGCCGTTCCCGGCGGCGCGCGCGCCAGCAGCTCCTGGGCCATGCTGTCCAGCGCGGCGGCCACCGCCAGTGTGGCTGCGGTGCTGGACAGGCCCTCCGCCAGCCCCGCCAGGACGCGCTGCGCCGGGCGCAGGCCGGAGTACATGGCCTCGCCGGCGCGCCACCGCGCGCGGCACGCCTCCGCCACCACGGGGGGGAGGAGGCGCGGCGACGCGGCGCTGCCGCGCTCCTCGCACCGCCAGGCGGCCGTCTTGACCAGGGCCAGCAGCACCGACGCGGTCGCCGCCTCGGCTGCGGTGTTCGGGTTCAGGGACCCGATGAGGACGGAGGGCAGGTGGAAGACGGAGCAGGTCGCGACGGCCGCCGCCGTGCGGGCCGCCGCCGCCAGCGTCACGATCTGCATGGAACGGTGTGGTGGCGGTGGGGGGTCAGATGGGCAGAATGCAAGGGAACAGGAGCGAAGAGAGGGATTGGTGGTGGCAAGGGGACACAGGCAGCTGCTGAAGGGGTGGAAGGCCAGGACAATGTGATCTCCCTGTCTAGGTAAAAGAGCCTGGAAATTGGCCCGCGCGTCTGCAAAGCCCTCCTGCATGGATGCCCTCCCGGCCAGGCTCACCAGCAGCTTGAGCTCCTGGGGGGCGGCGATGAGCATGCTGCGCTCCAGCTCCTCTTCCCCGTTCCCCACGCCGACCAGCAGGCCCTGGAGCCGCAGAGCGGCCGCCTGGAAGGCGTCCAGCGGCATGGAGCGGGACTGCGTGCCCCCTGTGCCGGAGCAGGCGGTGTGGGGCCTGCGGCCCGGGTGGCGGCACCGGCGGGGCGGCAGGCCCTGGGGCAGGCCAGGAGAGAAGGGGTGGGGGTGGGGGGCGTCCCGCCATGCGACATGCAGGGAGCCGGAAATCAACGCCATGGGGCCTGGTGGACGAGGGAAGGGAGCGGGCGGGGGTGAGCGAGGCGGTGAACAACCCTTCACCCCAGGAGGCGCCGGGAGTCTCTGCCCCGCCATGAAAAGGCACTTCGCTCCGTCATGTTGCCGCCCTGATGTGTTGAATGGGTTTGTAAGAGCAGGATGGCCCCCCGACTGCATGGCTGCACCTGCGTGTGTCGCCAGAATGGGACACTGGCCGTCTGTCAGCTATAAGGTCGCTGCCGCGCGGGGTGAGCAGCCGAGACGGGCTTGTGTGGCAATCTTGATGACGCCTCTATGCACCACTCTAAATCTAATGCATGCGATCGAGCTGCAGGTGCTCGCATCCGACCACATCCAGAGCAAGGCACGGGATCCCCACCTCGCGGAAAATCCTGATGCATAGAGCGCCAGTTCTGATCTGGGTTGAGTGGGAAACGAAACTCTTCATAGACTCTTGGCATTGCCTGCTCATGCTGCTCATGCTGCTGTGTACAGGTGATTGTCAGTCTAGAAGCATGTTCAAGGGTGATGTGTGCTGGTGACATACCCTCCTCCCTCCCACTGATAGCACCCCAATCTTCTAATAATATGTAAGACCCAGGCAGGCTCAACATGCTTTGCTCAAGTTGCAAGGATACAAGTTGGGGAAGGGAACCCTCATCTCAAGTGTAGATTATGCGTCATCGCCAGGCGTGGCTCGCACAAATGCTGATGTAATCATCGGGTCCCTTGCATGCACGACCATCAGGGGGCACAGCCAAAGCACTGCAGACAGCCAGAGGATGCCGCCCAGCACCCCCTGCCCTCCACACACGCCCTCGAGGCATTCCATCGGGTTGTGTGAGGTCGGCAGCCTTCACTTCAGACCTTTCAAGACAAGTATCGCCATGTTGCAAGCCCCTGGCACATGGTGCATCCACAGGAGCCTCATAAAGACGGTCCAGGGGAGCAGTGCGGTGCTGCGAGTACGATCGGCCTTTTGGTGTCTTCCTGAGTGACATTAGGGCGTGGCAACAGCCATGCAGCTGGACGCATGCACCCAGCGATGACCCTGACATGAGGGACAAGCATGCTAAGGACAGACCACGTCCCCCGCGCAGGGCGGGAAGGCTCAGATATCTGTTTCTCGTGCCGTGGTAATGTCATCGGTCGGAGAACCGACCTCGGCTTTGGCTACTTGACGTCACTGCCTCCCGTCGACACCCGCACAGGGAACCAGACTGGCTGCCGTCGCATGCTCGAGCAAGGATGGACCACACTCCTGGCTTGCCAGACTATGATTGAAAACTATCTCAACATCATGGCACGATGCGTGCGGGGCGAGCCCGGGGAGGGCTGCCCCGGCACATGGTCAAGCTCAGTCTGAGTGACTCATCAGCTGGGCGTGAATATTGCCATGAAGTGCGAATCAATCACCGCTCCAGAGCAGGCGTTCCGAGCCTGTCCGGTCGCAGTCTGTGGGGGAGAGCCAGCCTGCGATCGTGCCTTGTTCCCTACCGGACGGAAATGTGGGAGACCATTGGGTTGCATCAGATCACGACATTTCAGGCGAGGTCCCTCCCTCTATATAGAACTTGCACCCTACGTAGTACCTTTGCATGCTTGCAGAATGGGTACATAAGGAAGTAAATGCATGTAGCAGCTAAGATTCAAAGAATTGTTGCTATTGACACCTTTCAGGGCAGCACCTTTTCCTGCATACCGCTCACGATGTGTTTGAGCATGGCATACTTGGTCCCAATCGCCAAATCCTAGCCTGAGCGAAACCGCTTACGGAACCCACGACAATTATCGCGCGCAGAGTGAGTCCTCACTCTTTTGCAAAGGACTCTTGGCATCTGCATGAATAACAGTGGCACTGCAATGTGCTTGCCACTGAATGGATGAGATATGCCATGCTCCTGCCTTGGCAGCACTCAAACGAGTTGGGCGTAGATGACTGATCACACACATTGTTGGCCAAGAGGCGACCCTGCTTCCCTAGGTGGGCACTCCTTACCTGTGCTGTGACTGCTCTCTCAGTTTCTGACGCTTTACCTGAGTGGCTTACTCCTGGGCGATATGATCCTTTGAAGGGTTGACTGTCACTTCATGGAAGATTTTCTTCACATTATATAGCAATCTATCTACGCAGATGACTCCAGCGGCAACTGTGTATTCTTAATTCCTTCTTGACATTCTTAGGGGGGGAAGAGGGACACATCAGGAGGGGAAGGAACAGCAAGTTATTCCAGGGGAAGAACCCACGATGCTGGTTGTCATGCCACCATTAAGTGAAACCATGTCAACGACGCATGACCTCGACTTGAGTTTTTGCAAAGGATCCTACTCAGACAGTGATTTCCAATGCTAAAGCACATGCATCACACGAGTGTCTACTGAGATTCTCAAGGACGAGATCTTCATTGCTGATAATTGAGCAATGACATGTTGTCCATGCATAGCTGGGGCTCTTCCTGGTGATTCTGTCGGCCAATGATGCATTCGCGGTTTTTGCACGCCAGCTTTCCATCTCGTCGTCAGCATGGGTTTCCGATCTCGGCTACAGCTGTGCAGGATTGAAAGCACTGCATCTAAATTTGCACAACATGGCAACAATAACACAAGGGCTGTCTCTCATCACCCGTATCGCAGTCCCCATGGAAGTGTCATTGTATGCCAGGTAGCTCATGTCGTCCTTGAGCATTGCTCCATGTCCGGTGAAAGCTCGGCTCCTCCGGGAGGTCGCTCGAGGACGCACCCGACCGGAGTCACCCAAGACACGACCTCAGCGTCGCAAGGGGGGTCTGCCATCTGAGCTAGCTGGTGGGTGGGTGGGTGGGTCTGATCACGCCAGACCGCCCTGCATGCTGAGTACCACAAATTGACATCCGGCAAAACCCGAGAAGGCATTCATCGGGTGCTCACTTTCCGGCGATGTCGATCGTCTGAGATGCAGCGACACATAATCCCGATGCATGTCCCAGGTCTGCATGTGGAGGAGCTGGCGGTGTGCAGCGAGGAGGCTGGGCCTGCCGGGCTGCATCCGCAGGCCTGGGTTCCCCTGCGCCTGATCAGGTCCGCCGCCGCAGCTAGCCCCCTTCCCACCGTCGTCCTGTTGCACTACACCAGCGGCAACATGACGGGCATGGCGCCCCAGGCAGCGGTGCTTGCCAGGAGGGGCTACCTGGTCGTTTGCATCGACCTGAGGTACCACGGCCGCCGCAACTTCTCCCGCCTGGACGACTTTGCTGCCTACCAGGCCGCCCTCGTCGCGGCCTGGCACGGCAGCGGCGAGCGTCCCTTCCTCCTGGACAACGTATGGGACCTCATGGTCGTCGCAGACTACCTCGTGCAGAGCAGGACAGACGTGGACCCGTCACGCATCGCCGCCATCGGCGTCAGCCTGGGCGGGATGCACGCGTGGCTGTGGGCAGCGGCTGACGCCAGGGTCGCAGCCGCCGTGCCCCTCATCGCCATCCAGAGTTTCCGGTGCGGGCCAGGGGGGGGTAAGGGAATCTAAAGGCCAAACAAATGGGGAACTCTGGCCTGGTGATGTGGGGATGGGACAGCAGGGAGAGACACGACGCGTGGTGGGGTTAAACTACAGATCTTGCTCAGCAGGAGAAAATGATGCATTGCGCAACATGCTTGCCATGATTCCTGCACCCTCGGCACAATTCTCCAGAACCCCATCCACTACAGGTATGCCATCGAGGAGAACTGCTACCATGGCCGGGTCAGCAGCATCCCGCAGGTCTTCCAGGTAGCCGCAAAAGATCTAGGGAAGGAGGCGGTGGATGCCGAGGTGGTAGCAGTGGTCTGGGAGCGACTGACGCCGGGACTGGTTGACGCCTACGATGCCCCTGCCTCCCTCCCCATTATTGCACCGAGGCCCCTCCTCGTGGTGTGCGGACAGGCAGACCCTCGCTGCGTCATTGATGTGAGTAGGAGCCTGCCGCTGAGCGCTACATGCTCTCGCCCCCAGAGCGCGCTGTGTTCAGAAGGCACTGCCAGTGATGACCAGCAAGCTTTCGTGATCCTCTCCACGGTCGTGCCTCGCAGGGCGTCTACTCCTCCATGCAAGCAGCCGTGGAGGCATATGCCGCAGCGGGTGCAGAGGATGCCGTGGACCTCATTGTGGAAGAGGGGGTGGGCCATGTGTGCACCCCCACCATGTGGACAGCGGCATTCGATTGGCTGGATGAGAAGCTGCAAAAAGCATGATGACGGTGTGAGGTGCATCTGCTTATAGCACAGGCTGATGTTTCCAGTTTCGTCCTTGTTATGTTGGGGGGGGAGCCTCTGCAAGTATTCCTTATGTGGTCGAGATCCCTGGCCGAGTCCAAGGGATCGGCTCACGGTCAAACTTCTGTGTGTGCACGCATGACGCAGTGCATGTGCACTCGTGCCAGCCTTGCTTCAGCCCAACCAACACACCCTCCAGTGCGTTTTCTTAATCTGTCTGCACCACCTTATGATGCAAGCGACCCAAGGTCAACCTGGATGCTGAAAGCACATGTGCGCCATCATACCTGGCGCTTGCAACCCCCAGCCCCCAAGCACACTCTCAGGAGCTGTGGATTCAGGACACTCTTACTGAATGCACCATTGGTTCCTATCAAACAGGCAAACCTCCCAACACCAATTCGCCCAGTCCCAGCCTGCCTGGGAGGCACCACCTTGGGGATATCCCTGATGACAGCAGATTGCTTGCATGATGCGATGAACAGGCATCACCTCGGATCGAGGGGGAGCCCACTGATATGCACGAGAAGGTGTGAGCAGGAGATTCAAGGCCAAGTTATCAACACAAAAGTATGAGACGGGAGATCCGAGGCGCAGGGGTGCGTCACAGACATACTGGGTACCAGACTTCTTCCTCCACCTCAATCCCTATTGTTATTCTTGGCGGGGGGCGCATCAGGCACCTTCAGCCTCTCCGCCTCCCCCCGCTCTGCGCTGATGGTGGCCACCCCAGACTTGCTGCGCTCAGGCGCCTCGGCCGCCGATGCCCCGCCCTGTGTCCGTTGGGCGGCCTCACGTTCCCGCAGTGCCTTGAACTTCTTTCCCCGGCTGGAGGAGGACGCGTTTGACGACCGCCGCGCATTCAGCTCCTTGCCTGGGAGGGGGTGCAAGGGGTGGTGCCGAGACCGTCAGCTGACGATCCTGACACAACACAAGATGCTGCCGAGATAAAGAGACAGGTACTATTGCCACCGCGCTCCCAGGAGCATCCAATCCCAATGTCACTGGCGACGCCTGCCAGGCAACTCACCGCTGGGCTTGACCTCTGTGGCCTCGACATCGTACACTTGCGACGAGGACGGCTGTGAACTGGAGGTCCCACTCTGGATCTCGCTCCCAGACCCTGCGGATGCGCCCGCAAACTGCCGGCGGAAGTAGAGCTGCTGCCCAGTGGTCACAAGGTTGTTTGTCAGCCAGTAGAGACCAAGCCCAGAGGGCACGTTGAGAGAGAACCAGCCTGTGGAAGGTTTGCGGGATTCAAGTGCTGAGGGGGAAGGTGTGGACCGAGAGCGACTGAACGCACCCTCATCGACTGCTACTGGGCCCACCAAACAAAGTGGTTTCCCTCGCCCCCCACCGCGCACCGATCATGAGGGGCAGGAACTTGAGGATGGCATTGGATTGCGCGGCTTGCGAGGGATCGGCCGAGGGCGGCTGCAGTACCTTCTGGCTGATGTACTGCGACACAACCAGCAGCACTGGCAGGACCAGGTAGGCAATGGTGTCATGCCAGCCCAGAGGCGGCGCCCCGCCGGCCAGCTTCAGCCACCCCAGGCCACCCTGGTGACGTTGAGGGGGGGCAGGTTTGAGCAGCGTACGTTCAACCCCGCGTGATTTGGAAGATCACTGGGGTATGACAATATTTGAAATGGTTCAAAGTGCAAAAGAAGACGATCCTCGCCAGGCATGGCCTATCATCATATTTGCCGCTGGCAGAGGTATGCTGACTGTGCGTCTGGACCGCTCTGCAGCGAAACTCCACACCCTTCTGTCCATACTCTTCTTGTCATCACAATCCAACCACACCTGGTTGGTGGTTGGGCCTGCCAGGGATGGAATCCAGAAGAAGCCCTCGCCCAGGAGCCCCTCGTCCGCAACATTTGACAGTGCCCTGATCATGAGGGGGAAGGAAGCGCCACGGCTTGAGAGGCACAGCATGGTGGCTTCACAAGCTTTGAGGTGTCATTTATGGACTGAGGACATCATCAACCTCGGCGGCATGCATGTGCAAACCTTGGCATCGATTGTGAATCTGCCAGGAGCCCACATCTCACATCTGTCATCCCTCCCTCTGGCTGTCCAGGAGAAAACCCTGTCTCCAACTCAACAAGAGAGGCTCTCACCAAGAGTGCCACAACTAGAAACCCTGTGAGAGTGCCACCTCCTTCCCCCTACTCCCTCCTTCCTGTTTCACCCCATGTATGCTGTACCTGTAAAGGCCGATGAAGATGGGGATGGTGACGAGGGCGGGCAGGCACCCCGCCAGGGGGTTGACCCCCGCGCTCTGGTACAGCGCCGCAGTCTGCGCCTGCAGCTCGGCCGGCTTGTCCTTGAGCTGGGCCTGCAGCTCCTTGAGCCGGGGCTGGATGGCCTGGATGCCAAAGGTGGACTCAGCCTGCTTCTTGGCCAGGGGCCAGGTCACCACCTTGACCAGGAGGGTGAGCAGGATGATGCTGAAGCCGTAGGAGTAGGGGACATGCGCGGCCGACAGGTTGCCGTCCAGCATCTTCAGGAAGGCTTCGAAGCCGCCGGAGAAGAAGCCGAAGAAGCCCGTGTTCTTTGCGGCGGCGGCGGCGGCGCCGGGCGCCTCCGCCACCTGCTGAGCGGCGTCGCCCGCAGCAGCCGCTGCCTGCGGGAGTTGGTCGGCGAGCGCTGGGCCTGCCACAGTCCCAAACACGAATAGGGCGGTGGTGAGGTGGGCGGCCAGCCCGGCCAGGGGATCTTCGCGACTGAAGCATGGAGAAGGGAAGGGAGTGGGAGATTCAGGGGCAATTTGCAGATAGGGGGTATTGCTGAATCCGGAAAAGAATGTGACCCTCAGATGCTATGAATAAAGTGAGTCATACTTCCGTGGGAGGCCGTCAGGGCACTGGTAGTACTACCCACGTTTGATCTTGAGAAGGTGAGGACAGGGATTTCTTGGAGGGGGTCAGGGACGGCAGGGCAAACTTTCGCACGACAGCCGTGCCCTTGATGGCAACCCCTGACGCCTGCCGGTCCTTGGAAGCACCTGCATGAGGGCATTTGGGGAGAAGGCAGAGGTTCAAGCACAGACAATTGATTGTGGGACAGGGGGAGGGAGCCAGAATGCGAGCAGGGCGGCCCCGCTCGTCGTCCCAATCTGCTCCACACGAGTCTCACCATTGCATGCAGGAATCCTGCAGGGACGGAAGCGACACCGCCCAGCCACAAACGGCATTGGGGCCCTGTGGAGACAGGAAGAGGGTGCAGAGCTCAGGATGTGTCCCGCAGAGTACTCTCGCATGATGACTTGTGCATCCCTGTTGACCCTGCCCTCTCGAACGTGCCTGAAGCAGCCAGGGGCGCGCAAGCTGGGAAGTTCGCCTGCCATGGGCGCACAGCGACTTTGAATGTTTACCTGCATGGCCGAAGCTTCCGTGAACATCCTTCACCGATTCTTTGAAGTGGACGCAGCAAGGAGCGGGGCTGGACAAAGGAGCGAGTTGGGATCATAGGGAATGTCCTCCGACCTTCCTACGAGATAGCATTCCCACTTTCTCCTTTCCAATGTCGAGCTCCCCTTGCTGTTGCATGCCTGTACCTCGAGCGCATGAGTGCCCAGAACATTATCAATGGACATCATTATATTACAGGCTCCTTGAAGTGTAGTTCTTAACACTCCAGAGCGCGGCAAGCGAGCCCCGCATTCCTGCATCGAGTCTGTGCGTTCTTGCTTCGAAGAGCAGATCACTTTGTGTGTGAGCACGGGGCGCCGGCATACATCGTAGTATCATTTAGGAAAGGCTGGTCGGACCTGAAAGGCCATGCAGGCTCTGCACAGCCGGCCCTTTGTGTCGGGAGGTGCGCTCCACTCCAGCAGGCGCGGCGTGTCCAGGCCCAACAGGAGTACGGTCTGCAGAGTGGATGCCGTGGCTCGCAGATCCCTGACTCTCCAAGAGCAGCTGAAGTCGGTTCGAGCTGCCTTTGAGGAGCGGCAGCAGGCCATCGCCGACAGAATAGGGTGGGTGGTGTGGCGACAGACCACAAGTAAGGAGTGGATGTTCTTGCAAAGTGGTTATCAATTACTTTCCCACCCACTTGATACAGACAAACAAAGCTTGCAGCCATGGTGATACATGCTTCTGATAAGCTGGCGCCCTATCTTAGAGCGCTGGACCTGGAGAGACGGAGGCTTGTGCAAGAGTGAGGCATGGGTTGTCGTGGCATCTATGGGGCCTGGCTGCATGCTTTGCAGCACCTGACCTGCACACAGGATGTGTCTTGTGATGCTCCTCCACCCCACCCCCCTCACAACAGCTACTTCCGATTTGTCGAGGAGGACAAGAGGCTTGCATGGCACTGGGAGTGTCAGAATGTGCCAGAGGCGGCCTTCTGGGCTCAGCAACCCGCCAACATCATCTGTGAGTTGCAGATGGAGGGGTCCTTGGGAGTCCTATAGTGGACAAAGCTCGTTGGAGACTGTTGGGCCAAGGCTGGCCGGACTGGTGTAGATGAGAAAGGGTGGAAGCACGGTCCGCGTCTCCTTTGCCATGCATGTCACCTGCCACCCCCCCACACCTCTTCTCATCCCGGGCGTGCAGTCTTTGTGATGGCGCTCCTCTACCAGGGCATGCTCCCCGTCAGCTTCCTTCTCTGTGGCGTCATCCCATTCTATTTTGCCTGGATCATGTGGGACCGGTGGTGGGCATCCCCTGTCGGCCTGGCCCTTCTGCTGACCTGGCCCATGAAATTCCCACCCTGGGTGTTCTGGAGCACGCACTTTGCTTGGGTGTGGCCTGGACTTGTATGAGAGCTGTGTACAGGATAGTTGCTCGCTGCCATGTGGCTACCTAGCAGGGGATCCTGCCATGCACAGCAAAGCTGGTGAGGCAAACAGTGGGCAGTAATGCCGGCGCAGCGCCACAGGATTTGCGCCTCGGCTGGAATGAATGCGAATTCAGCGCTCCAAGAGGGCCCAGCCAGCTCTGCCGTTTGCCACTAAAGCGCTGTTCAGGGTCCATGATTGCATTGCATGCAATACAAGCACCAGTCCTCGAAAGGAATTCTTCATCAGAAGTGTTGTGCCAGAGTGGCAGCCATCTGGCCCCTGCACGCAGCGTAGCCCTGGGCATATGCTGCGTTCCTCAAGGCATTCAGCTGTACTAGCAAGTCGTCTTCAATGCTGCTCCCTCCCGCAGCCTGCGTGAGCAGAAGAAGGATGGACTTGATTTTCATGCGGAAGCTGCGGGCGTGTGCTCAGGAATGCAGGCAACCGATAGGCAGCAGTACCATTGGACAAGATTGTAAGCCTACAGTGATCAGCCACAGGCGGGGAGCAGCCCATGTGGAGAGTTCATCTTTACCATCCTAGGCCCACAGCAGTTTGCATGCGTGCCAGCTGTCACCTGAGCTGCCAGGGTCTTTGCCAGAGCAACCACGTCCAGGGGGTTGAGGGTGGCCTCCCTTGCTGCCCTTTCTGGCTTCTGAAACTTCTTTGCACTTGCTTTTTGCGAGGAGGTAGCCCCCTCGGGTGCTGTTGCTGCAGCAGGAGCCTCGCGTTTTGGGGTCGCCACGGCGGCATCAGCCAGGGGTTTGAGGTCTGGAGGATTCTCCCGGTCGATGACAGGTTCTAATGAAAGGTCGGTGTATGTCACAGTCCGATTGATAGATCTGCATATCGACAGCATGGAGCGAGTGGAACCCGTGGACATAACGAGTGTGGGTGGGGATGGTCTTCGGCGGGGTTGCTCGGGGCGAGACTGCTCCTCATGAGTATCACGCCGAGCGTGTCCTCCAAGCACTGTGCCTTTGCGGGCGGCCAATACCCCACCCTGCCCCGCCGCAAGCCAAGACCCAAGGGCTGGGCTCACCGGAGGAAAACTTCGAGATCCAACGGCGTGAGGGTGAGACTGGCGGTGTTCACCAGGGGATGGAGGATGATCTTGGGAGCTGCCTGCACGCCTGCGTCCAGCAGAAAGGCAATGCCCCCAGCGGACGGCGCTGACAGGGCCAGGGGCGTCAGGCTCCCCGGCTGCACCCCCAGGAACTCCACAACGTCCTCTGCGGGCGCGAGCCGCAGGCCACCCTTTCCAGTGCCCAGCCGGAAGGAGAGAACTGCATGGGGGGAGTTTGTGGGGCGACACAGATGGGAGAAGGGCGCGTGCACCAAACAGGACACAGCTGGCACTCCTTCCAGTGGTCGGCATTGGCGGATGTGCGAAAGTGGCGGCATGATTGCCTCCTCCCAGCCCAGCATGCTCAGAATGCGGTCTTACGATTGAGGCTGATGGGTGTCTCTGCCAAGGCAGTCACAAGGAAGAGGCGATTCTTCTTGTCCTGGGTGAATGTGCAGGCACGCAGGGGTAAAGGCGGGGCAGTCTCAAGGGGGAGGCTGCCAGGAGGAAAGTCCAAACTGGCGCGATGGGCTCACATGCTGAGGGTATGACCCCAGCACAGCACCCCATGGGCACCCAGTACAGGGTCCAGTCTGCCTGGCGACCACGACCTGCATTGCCATGGATGCCCAGATCCTAAAACACAAACCATATACCTTCAGTAGTAGGTTCTTTAGTATGGTACCCTCGACTGGCCCCAGTGCGGCTGCCTGCGTGCAAGGTATGAGAGGGTAGGTACTGTGCAGTCCTCTGCACCGAGACACACAGGCGCCACTGCTACAAGCTCGGGCTGATCCGCTGCAGGAGGAGACAGGCATGCTACCCACCTGCGCATCGCATGTCATGACGGGCCCATGCTGGACCTTATCGAAGCTGATGTTCAGAGCCTCCAGGCGAGCGAGGATGTCCTGCTCCCCTGCCATCCCTATCACAGCACCCAGGCGTTCAGGCGCAGCACGCACTGTGCTCATCGACTTGAAAATAGGGAATACTGTGCAATGGCATCCATCGAGGAGGATTCCTCGGCCCATCGCACCTGCACGGCTCCGCTTCGTGCGTGCTGCGCTGTGTGCTGTGCCCTCCCTCGTGTACCCCTTGCTGCTAATCGACCTTCTTCTATCAGTGCTTAAAGAATTGCTTGCCACACTTTGTTGAGTGCCCAGATCCGGATCATTACTGCTTGGAGAAGTACTCGAGGGAGGCCTTGGGGCTGGGCTTAATGGTGTCCTCGCCCTCCTTCCAGTTAGCTGGGCACACCTCACCGTGCTTGTCTGTGAACTGGAAGGCCTTGAGCAGGCGCAAGGTCTCGTCCACGGAGCGGCCCACGGGCAGGTCGTTGACAGTGATCTGGCGGAGGATGCCCTCGGGGGAGATGATGAAGAGGCCGCGCAGGGCCACGCCGGCGTTCTCACCCTCCTCGATGAGGACCTGGTAGTCGGCGGAGATGGACTTGGTCAGGTCTGCCAGCAGGGGGTAGTTCAGGCCGCCCAGCCCACCCTTGTTGCGGGGGGTGTTGATCCACTGCAGGTGGGAGAAGGGGGAGTCCACGCTCGCTCCGACGACCTGCAGCGGGAGGAGGGCGGGGGTGGATGAGCGAGGATGGGCAAGCGGAGCATCCTGGAAGGGACCATGGCCGTCATGCACAGGGAAGCCGTGGGCGGGCAGCTCAGCCTGGCTGCCGCTACTTCACTCCATGCACACTACGGCAGCCTCCCGCGGGATGCCCTGGACCAGGCCCCTACGCCAGGCCCAGCCACCTGCCACCCACCTCCACGCCAATGTCGCGGAACTCCTGGATGCGCTCAGAGAAGGCGATAATCTCTGTGGGGCACACAAAGGTCCAGTCCATGGGGTAGAAGAAGAGGACGACATACCTGACGTGGGGGGCAGAGGAGCAGGCGTGGGCTGGATGCCACACCGAGGAATCATTGGCCGCAGGAGGGGAACAAGCGCGTGAGGATTACGCAATCGATTCCCCTCGTTTGTCCGGACTCAAACAACCAGGCGCAAGGGCGACACCCAGTCGAGCTCCTCGCTCCCTCAGAAATGGCACACTCACTTTCCCTTGTAGTCATCGAGGCTTACGGTCTTGAAGTCGCCATCTACAACAGCAGTGGCCTTGAAGGCAGGAGCTGCAAATCGTGGTGATGCAGAGTGATCGTGGGCAAACGCACGACGCAGGATAGATGTACTGGCCGCTCCCAGCGTGAACACAAGATGTAGCGCGACCTTTAAAGTATGTTTATATGTGCATGCTCGAGGCTGGATGACTGCTACACCTCCTCACCAGGCTTTCCGACGGTGGCAACCATTGTGAAAATTGAAATGAAACGACGCCCTGGAACCCCGAATATACTATCTGAGTATCTCTGATGGAATACAAAGTTGACTTGCGACCCAGAGAGGGGAACCGAGTCTAAAAGTGTTGCATTGCGCCGAAGGCACCTGGGGCACAGAGGAAAGTAGGAAGGCTTGTACGTTGTCAGGAGACATACCACGGTGCCAACCTTTCGTGCGAAATCGAGTATGAGAGTGGGCCCATCTTCTTGCTGAAATGCTTCGGAAGTTTGTGTTGGATGAGACAGCTGAATCGCGTTGACCTTTGACAAGAGTTTCCTTCGTCGGGCCAACACCACCGACCACCCCTTCCCGACCGACAGCTTCCTAGCCAACTTGTTGGACATCACCATACAAGGTCGCCGAGAGGCTTGTACGTTGTCAGGAGACATACCACGGTGCCAACCTTTCGTGCGAAATCGAGTATGAGAGTGGGCCCATCTTCTTGCTGAAATGCTTCGGAAGTTTGTGTTGGATGAGACAGCTGAATCGCGTTGACCTTTGACAAGAGTTTCCTTCGTCGGGCCAACACCACCGACCACCCCTTCCCGACCGACAGCTTCCTAGCCAACTTGTTGGACATCACCATACAAGGTCGCCGAGATACCTTCCGTTGCTTCCATCATGAAGGTAAGGTCTGGTTCGAGGTCCATGGTCTGGCGTCCATGTTAACCAACGCTCCGAAGGGATTCCACCAGTCACCGAGCAAAGGGATCACTTAAAACTCCCTTCGAGCGGGGTCCCGGGCACAAAATTGCTGTGAGCGTGGCATTTGTATAGTACATCCCCAACTGGGGTCGGTCGGGACCTTCATCTGATACCTTCCGTTGCTTCCATCATGAAGGTGAGGTCTGGTTCGAGGGGCATGGTCTGGCGTCCATGTTAACCAACGCTCCGAAGGGATTCCACCACTCACCGAGCAAAGGGATCACTTAAAACTCCCTTCGAGCGGGGTCCCGGGCACAAAATTGCTGTGAGCGTGGCATTTGTATAGTACATCCCCAACTGGGGTCGGTCGGGACCTTCATCTGGCACTGCATACTAGATGCAAATCCGTCATACGATACCTGCCGTTCTGATGAGCAGTCCCAGATCTTCCCCTACCAATACGACTGGAAATGCGAGTCCCCCTTCGCTTTACCTTGCATCCCGAGCAGGTGGCCTATGGCAGTGCTGAAAGTAATTTAGGGGGCAGCTCAGCATCATCATATGACGACGGCCCCTGCCCCCTCCAGCTTTCCTTGCCAGCAGCATCCTCGGTCAACCCCAACCGACATCCTGTGTGTGCTTCGATTCCACAAACGGGCCCCTTGTCCTGTTGTTTTGGGAGTCCTTGCACCAGCACAAGGTATCACAGGCACACGATGTGCCTGCCTGCCCACCCTCCCTCCCTTCTTGGTGATCGGCGCGCTTCCCTGAATGGAGAGCCTGCCCACAGCCATGCTTGCGCAGCCCAAGTTTGGCAGGGTCAGCTACGGCAGCCCTGCAGCATTCACCTTTCATCGTCTGCCAAGCTCGTGGATGATGTGATCATCCTCATCCCCCCCGTGACCTCCCTTGAACTCCTGGTGCGGAGGGGGTGGGCCACAGATGGGGGCCAGAAACAGGGATGGTATTTGGATCGTATGCCTGCCAACACTCTCTTCCACGCAAACGGTGTGAGGCTGCATGAATCTTTGGCTCACTGCGCAAGGGTGCTGGGTGCACATGCCTGCATTGACGCTCCTGCACCCATTGACACTCTTGTGAGTTGCCTCATGTCATGTGCCTCCCTCGCTCATGGCATGTGAAGCCGGCGTTGTCTTACCATCACGGCTGCGCTCGCCCTTTGCATCATTTTTGCAGAGGTGGGAGGAAAGACACGTCTGCAGTCTGGGACCGGAAGCTATGGCCCGGGATCCTGAGAGCGTCTGTGAACTGGTGGTTCGGCGGCAGCTGATCAAGGCCGCCAAGCCCAACATCTCTCTTCGGCTGCAGCAACAGCAGAGGAAAGGGAGGAAGGCGGGCAGGCCCTCTCGCGCGCACCCGTCTGCCGGCACCTGACGCATGCAGGCCAGGGACTCCTGAACCGCTGACCCAGGCAAGCTGCTCCCTACCTGCTTGGGATGGGGATGGGGATGGTGCAACCTGCCTTCGCATGCCTGTGTCTGGCAAGTGCCACACCCCACGCATGCTTCCCATCCATGTCACCTGCAGGACGGTGACCTCTGACCAAGCACAGGAGCGGAGCGTGTCAATGAGTGAAAATCTGAGAGCATAGACTGCGAGCAAGAGATGAACGCACACCTGATACATCCGGCTTCTGCTGGAACATAACTGGACAACCCTTGTGAAGAAGCGTCCGAGAGGCGACCGTACACACCAAACCTCTTGCCCCCCGAGCCCAGCTCCCAAACAGCTTGTGCTGGCCCCTAGGTGGACGGCTCAGTGATATTCGCCACCTTCCCTACTCCGCCCTCAATCGTTTTGTTTCCTGGTGCAACATGCCAATAATCCTACATCCAGGCCCTATTCATTGCAAGCATGTCCCTCTCCCTCCTGGAAGGTGAGAGCCTTGCTTCATTTTTCTCAATAAGCTCATGGTACAGCATCTTCCATCAGTTTTGACGGCTGAGGTTTCATGCCAGCAACAGGTGCCTGGTTTTACATATGTTTGTTGTCCAAGGGCCTACACTAAATCTCTTGTCCCCACATAGTCCTCTCCAGCTTGTGAACATCCAACAAAGTTTGGCAGTTGCTTTGTTCCTTCGCCGGAGGTGCAACGCAACATCAATGTACGCTCAAGATTTTGTTGGCTCCCCTGGTTTAGGTATACCTGATAAGCTCGATGGTGGTCTTCTTCCTGACTTTGCTCTTGAGCTGATCCCACCTTTGACACTAGGCAGGGGCTTTGGAAGCATCTTCTATCTTGGTAAATTCTTTGGGCTGTGTTCCTTCCCAAACCTGTCTCCACCCATGATGCGCATGTTATTTCTCCAGCTGTGGAAAGTGGGAGCATCATAGTTCGGACATTCGAGTCAGCCCACCAGGCAGCAAGTGGAATACACAGAGGTACAGTGCTGCTAGTCGAGGCCTAGAGGGTACAAATCAAGTGGGAAACGATCAGGCAGCGCACTGATTTCATGTAAAATCATCGACTCCAGCTGCCGTCTCGGTTCAGAGACTGTCGACCGCAAGTGGAACAAGCACCCCTCTGCGTTTGGCGCTTACGATGTTCCTGGCACCGAGCAGGATCTCTCGTGCCGCTCTCTTGCTTTGCAGTGCGCTTGCGCTGCACAATGGGGACTTGAGTAGATTGAGGTTGGTATAATGGAGATTCACCCCGGTTGAAAGCCAGCCAGCAGACAGGTGATGTGCACCTTGTCACATACAGTTCTGTCTGGCATAGATAACGGCGAGCGGAAGGGCTCACTGAATACGGTCGGCCGCACGGAGGCATTGCCTCACACCATCACCCTCACCTGCCCGTGGAGCCGCGAGCGAGGATTTCTATGAGCAGTGTCTCGTCCTCCAGTGCAGCAATGCTATCCGGACTCCGGAGCCCCGCGCTGTACAGCTTACGAGCAGTGTAATTCTGAGGAGGGCCCAGGGTGGGCGAAGGTGCTGTTGTGGGCATGGATGTTTCGGTGCTGCCATCGACAGATGTGATCCGGGGATTGTGGAGCGAGACATCACCGCAAGGCTGCTTCCTGGGCGTCAGCAGGAAAGTGCGTCGTTCCCAGGCTCCAACTCCCCTTCCCTGTTGACTCACCCTCACAAAGGGGATCTCAGTGAGGGCAAGGAGCTCGGGCCTTACCCCCTGGAGGACCCTGGCCTGAAATTTGGAGACCAGCATCTCCAGGTCCTGCCACTGCAGGCGCTCGCAAAAGGCAGCCAGCATGGACGCAAAGCGCGAGCTCCGCTCCTGCAGACCCTGGATAGCACCCTGTGCCGCGCCAAACTTGCGTGAGATTTCCTGCAGGTCCACCTGTCGGTTGTGGTCGCATTGGAAAGTGCCAAGGGCTGCAGGGCCATCTGCAAGATACTGTGCACGTGGAGCTCAAGCCACCGCCCCCCCTGGTATGGCTGAGCACACTCCAAATGCACAGCCTCCCTTCTCACCTCTGCCAAGACATCCCTCAGGATCAGGGCAGCCCAAAATCTGCGTCCCACCCGCTCAGAGTCAGTCATCTCCTCGGGCTTGCCGCTGGATCTCTGGAGAGGATGAGAGGGGTTGGGGGTCACATTACTGCTGGTCGATGCTTGGGTTGCACTTCAGGGGAGGCATAGTGAAGATGGGCAGTGATTCTCGCCATCTCAGACAAACAGTATGTGGATTGAGGCCGCCCAGCAGGACTTTACCCGAGAGACCAGCCCGACTCGCCTGGTGATATCCATGCGCACGTGCCATGATGGCTCCCAGGTTCAAGCCGACGTGTGAGGCCACGTTTGCGTCGGCGCCCTGCGCGCAGGGCAGGAATGGGGAGCTGAGCTTGCTGTCCTGAAGTACTGCTCCTGCAAGCTAATGTGCATGGTGCCTCAGCAGGCAGACTCCAAGACGGGGATGGCCCTGACTGGCCTCCAGTTGGCGCAGTGATCGGTTTGCTCCATGCCATCAGGTGCCTCAAGGAAGGCAGGAAGTGTCCAAATGCCAGTCGTTCCAAAAGATTTGAGCGCCGACATGCCTGCAGGGAGTTGACGAGCTGCAGGAGGCGCCGCCAGTCCGGGATGAGGTCGTCTGTCGGGGAGACGCAGAGGAAGGTCAGGTGCAGGTCTGACGGCAGCACAATGCACTCCCTAGCCCGCTGAAGGTCTGCCTGTGCAAGGAAGTGTGGCAGTGTGGGTGGATGGAGAGGCAATTGGAACTTCAGCGACTCAATGTGGGTCCGGAAGGTGTGTGCGGTACAGGGCAGTGGCGCCAGGCCCCACTGGCTCGGCCGCTCAGGCATGGCGATCAGCCAGAGTCCCAGGCAAGGTGGGTCTGAAGCCCTGCTTGCGGCTGTAGCCTCACATGAATGGCCATGCAGCGCTCAGGGGGAAACCCGCTGACCAGGGCGGCGCAGCCGAGTGGGGAGGGGCGGTACACCTGACGCCAGGAGAAAGCGGGTGGGATGGTGGTGCGCTTGATGAGACAGCCTTTGGAGCAAGCCTGCTCCTCCTTGCAATGCAAGCAGGGGCATGACTCGTGTTCTGGGAGGCTTTAGTGGTGAACGGTTGCCCCATGAATGACAGCAGGCACATGGACGTGCCCAGGGGCGCACCTGATGATATCTGTCCCAGGTCACGAATGCATGGTCCTCCCTTCCCAGCCACTGCAGGGCAGCCACGGTTGTCGCAGCAACGATCTGCGGGGGGCACAGGCGGTAGCTGGGCGCGTTCTTGATGTCGCCCTGTCACCAAGTGTACGGCCCCATCCAAAAACCCCACACTTGGGATGGAGGAGGCTGGATGTCCAGCCCGGCAACTCGCCTTGGATGAGTTCATGTGTGCCAGAAGGGTGCAACGGATGTACTGCTGCACATCAGACGGCTCTGTGACCACCCCTGTCGCCACCACCTCAAGCATTGCTCTCTTCATGCCTGGACCAGGAACATTATGGGTTAAGAAGGGGAACCAGAGTGGGAGGGGCTGCAAGGCGCAAGCTCGGCCCCGGCTGCATACCAATAATCCATTGCGAGCCTTACCCCTGCTTGGCAACAGCCCAAAGCCCGGCTGTGGGTCACTGAGACGCACCTCCCCACCTACCTTTCCTGTCCTCTGTGAGGCAGCTGGCGATGGGACTGACTGGGGCTCGCACGAGGGCTCGCAAGCTGTGCAAGGTGACTCCCGTCCCAGTCAGCAGGATGGAGTCTCCCTCGGCGTCCACCCCCGCCCGCCCCGCCCGCCCCGCCATCTGACGGTACCTGCATCGCAGGGATGGTGGGGCAATACTCAGAGTACAGATGCGGCCACGCTACCGCACCTTGGTAAATATTGCGGGGGAGAGCTCACCATTATTCACACCACAGGGCACACAGGGGGGCATAGTGGGACAGCGCACGCGACCTTTTCCCTGCCAGTCTCACTGCGTTGGCGTGAGGAGGTTCTCCGGGCGGGGCAGACCCTGGTAGGCTTGCTTGAAGATGACCCTCCGAGCAGGGAGGTTGACACCGGCAGCCAGGGTAGACGTGGCCGCCAGCACCGAGATCGATCCGGCGCGGAACGCGCCCTCCACCGCCTGACGCTCCTCTGAGGAAAGGGCAGAGTGATGAAAGGCGACGCCACCACGCACACACTCTGCCAGGCAGGTGTCTGAGGCGGAGAGCTGCCCAAGCAGGGCTGCCACATCAGTGCGCGATCGCTGCTCCATCCCACCGCAGTCGCTCCTTGCCCGTTGAGGGACCTTGAGCAGCCTGGGTGATGAGGCGATGGAGGAGATGTGGTAGATGCTGGTGATGGATGACGCAAAGGCAGGACCACAGGAGGAGCATTGGCCAGGCAGCCCTACAACGTCACAGAAGACAGTACTCGGTCTTACTCGCTCACCACGAGAGAGCGGGACTGTTTGCAAGTAGGCAGACAGGTCCTATGTAGGGGCCCCACGTATGATAATGCCCCACTCTCACCGGGCCAACTTCAGAGCGACTGTCTCGCAGGCCTTCTTGGTTCCACAAAACACGACGACAGAATGGCCTTGGCTCACTATCTCCTGAGCGAGAGTCGCACAGAAGTCTGGGTCCTGGTGCAGAAATGAGATCAGAGACTGGGCTGGGCGAGGTAGGGTTGAAAGGGGACTGCACAGGCTGAAGGGACAAGGGAGGAGGGTAGAACACATGTATGGACACTCTCCGCCAGTGGACGCACTTCTTCTTTGGGGAAGAGGCGAGCCACATGTCTCACAGTTTCGCCACCCTCTACCTCCAGCATGCCATCCACCTGCACGTGCTAAAGGGGATATAACTGCCCCATGGACGTTCGCATATGTTACAGCGCAATTCTTGCCGCAATGTATTGAGGTAATTGACCCTGAGCAGGGCCAACATGCCATATACATTCCTATGTGATGTGACAGCCACCAGCGGGATCCTCTGGCTGAGCCGACCACAACCCTCACCATGATGTATTGCTTGAGGACTATGGGCCGAAAGGTTGTCTGGTAGAGCGAGGCCCGCAGCCACCTGCTCTCAGTGAGTGGATGGGGATGCCTGAGATTCCAGCCAGCGATGATCTTGCCCTTTTTATTTCATTCCTGGTGTCCTTGCAAAGGACGTTCTGGTTGCCAGAAACCCCCCAACAAGCAATAGGTACTCGTCACCAGGTTGTGTGCCCTGAAGATGTGCCTTCCATCCCTCCACCATCAACTATCACCATACCTGGCAACCACATCAAGATTTGGGAGGGTTGCTGACATGCCCACGATCTGCAGGCCATCTCTCAAACCTCGCTGGGCAAGTGAGCCGTGGAGATCCTGATGACCCAAAGTGTCCAATGGCAGGTTGTCACTGCCTACAGCTGTGTACCTGTTCAAGGGGGTGGAGGCATACGTGGATGCCTCAGGTTCCTCGCAAGGGTCCATACCCATCCTTGAGCAGTAGGTGCTGCTTGCCCTGTCTTCCAGCCCCAGATCAAGTGATCTGGAACCTCACATGAGCTTGGTGAGGAGGAGCTCCAGCTGATATCCCCGCTCCTGGTCTCCCACCATGTGCAGCTCGTCCACCACCAGGCAGGAAAGTGTGTCGAGTGCTTGGGCGGCAAGGAGCCGGTTGACCCTGGCCAGAGTCGAAAAGGTGGGGTGGGAGTCGTGTGAGGAAGGACACAGGGGAACTTGAGGAGGCTTCACCCAGCCATGCCTATGCTGGCCTGGGGCTCAGATGACATTCTGAGGCCAGCTGGTCCATGATCTTACTGCCACCCATGCTGACATCACTTCAACATCGACTCACAGGATGTTGGCCTTCTCGATGGTGCAGACGATGATGCCCGTGTTGGGTCCGATGGTCATCTGCTGTGAAAGCTTGGCCCCATAGGCTTCACAGACCTGAGGTGCTTGGGGGAGCTCCACCTGGGTGTGTAATAGGACCCCGCCCAACAACCTTGACAAGACACAAAGCAGCCCTCGGGGTTCCTTGGACTGCCCTGCCCCACCTCTTTCTTCAGTGGCGCCAGCAAGCGCTGGTAGTGCGCAGCTTTTTCAGCGCACAGGGACACAAAGGGGAGCACCTGTGGCAGTGATGCATGGGTCAGGGTGATCAGTCATGTGCGAGGCCATGGTTCATTCAGTCAAGCGCTCAAGGTGCAGCAGCCATGGTTGGATGTCAACGGGCCACCAGTCCAGATTCGCGCAGACACAGAACAGGAAAGGCAAAGACCCTGTGTGGTGGGCCATCCCCCTACCAGCATGGCAGGCCGCCCTGAGGCAATGATGCTGCGGAGCATGAGGACGTCAGCGACCAGGGACTTGCCACCAGAGGTCGGCGCGCTGTACACGAAGTTACCCCCCTGGAGTGGGTATGGATGCCGTGTGAGCCCCTGCTGGACAGGGTAGGCCAGCCAATGGACTGCTTCAGCAACACTGTCCTCCAGCCGTCTGCACCAGCAACCCACCTGCAGCACGCCTGGCAGGGCCAGAGCCTCTGCCTGCCACTCATAAAGGTTGGCCCCTTTCATGGTTGAGGACAAGTACACCTCGGCCACATCCCCTGGGAGGTAGGCACGCAGGTCGTGACTGGGTGAAGAGTCGGGTTTGATGACCGGCTGTGCCATGCACGCCCGGTTGAGCCCGGGCTGCAGCGTCCCAGCAGGCGGGGATGGAGCCGGCGGGCCTCCCACCCCGGACTCTGCATGTGACAGCGCAGCACGACGCTCCAGACTAGCGACCTGCAGGAGGGTGTCCTCCTCCACATCCGACCACGAAGTATCGGGTGGGGGGGGCGGGGTGCAGAGGGCGGCGAGGGCACCCGGCAGCGAGGTCGAGCAGGGGGGTGACGATGGAGTATTTGATGAAACTCCCAAGCGATGATCCGTCCTGACATGCTCCTCCTGCCTATGTATGGCCTGATGAGGGAGGCAGGTGCGGTGCACGTCGTCCCTCCAGGTCGCCGACGCTGTCGAGGTGCTGCCGGCAGCCGTGATTGGTAGGAGGCAGCTTGGCAGCCAGCAGGTTCCTGTGCATGGAGAGGAGCTCTGACGTTGTCGCCTGGTGGACCTCCTCGTGACTGAAATATCTATGAGATCAGTCTGACCCCAGATCATCCGCGCCATACTGTGACGCACCAGCGGAGGACTCTGTAGGGCAAGGTGGCCCTTCAGCCAGCATGGGTGTTTCAGCACCCAGCTTGCGAGATGTTAACACTGAACGACGTCCATTTTGTACATCATGCCATGCATAGCGACAGAGACTCCTACAATTCGTGCTGGCATTGCAAGAGCCAAGATTTGGAGCGGGGGCCTATGATGGGGGGCTCGGCACTGTGCCATGCTCTGAGCCCCGATCAGCACTCCCAAACTACGCTAGGCTGAGAAATTTGCTGGTGCGATACTACGAGCGGTTGGATCGCATCACCATGGCTCACCAACCTCTGCTCCCCAAGCCTCGCGCACCTGCCAGTGCTCCCGACCGAAAATAGGCGTGCTGAGCCGTGCGGTGACGAGGCCTGCGGGCTTCGGAACTGTTCTTCTAAGGCATGTGTGGCATGATCAGTGCGAGTGGCTGCCAACGATGTGAAAGAGGTAACTCACTGTGAGGTTTGTGTACCTTCGACTCACTGAAGGTGACCTCCCTGCTTGACTCTGGCCCTCCCTGGGGGCACTGAGAGGAGGGTCGCACGAGCCCCGGTCCGATGAGATCATCATCCCGGCAGAGCGACCGTACGCGTCGAAAGTCCGTTGCAAGCGCACCCAGGCTCATGCTGCCCATCCACCCTTCTGCAAAAAAGGCAGCCATCGGCCTGTTGAGTCTGTGCTATGCCGCATGGTTCATCCTGCTTGGCATTGGAGTGGCTCGCTATGAAGGTGCGCGATCTTGGAGAATCAGGAAGGTCGGGAGATGTTTGTAATGCCTGAGTGCTGCTGTGTGTATCATCGGGAGGGGTTTGGACACTCCCTTCCATCGAGATGAGAGCTGCAGATTTGCATTGCTGTGCCCGTCCTGTCTACTCCAGGGAAACCACCATCCCCTATCGGGCGACTCTCCAGTCAAACCAATCCCCTTTTACATCCATGCAGAGCTCCCTACCCGCCTGAAGTCCTCCGACCTGCCCCTGCACCACTTTGATCGCTTCTTCAGGGCAACCGGCGCCCTCCTCGTGCTTGGCCTGCTCGGCATCCGTGCACTGACAGCGGTCCTCTTCCCTGGTCTTTACCCGGGTTCGCAACTCCTAGCCCCTGGCCTGATATACTCCCTGCAACTCCTGCTGCGCTGGGGCCTGTACTACCTGCACCTCTCTGGTGAGTGAGAGTGATGGGGAGGTGCTTGGGGCAAGATCTGTGGCAAGCACGTGGCCGAGGGCGGGGCAACCGGCGTGCCGCGTTGAGCAACGGCAAACACCAGGTCGATTGAATGTGGGCTGGTCACCCTGCATGGCCGTCAGCTGCTGCCTTGCCATGCCGTGCCAGCCACTAGACAGCAGACTCATCCCCCTCCCTGAACCCTCCGACGCAGGACTGATCTTCAACCCATCCCACTGGGATGATGGTCTCAAGCAGGCAGCCCCACACATCATGTCCGACCATGTGCTACTGGGGGCGGCAGTCCAGGCTGGGCTGGCGTCTGAGGCCTGCCTGCCGCTGCTCAGGTGGCACACAGGGTCTATGCAGCCGCTCGGGCATCGCATCGCCCTGGGACTGCATGCGCTGGTGGCTGCTGTTCTGGCGCTTTTGGTCGCGGGGGAATCTTACTTCACTGTCAGGTGCATGAGTGAGGTGGTGTGTGGGGAGGAATGGGGCAAGGGAGGGTGGGAAGGGGGTCCAAGAGGCCTTCATGCCGTCCTCCCGTGAAGTGTACGAGCAGGGAGGTTCTGAGCGCCTGGGATCCATCCGTGTCCTACTGCGCACATGCTTGTCCTGATTACTGCGGTCCCAGCAGGCTTGAACGATAATTCTGGCCGTGTGCAATCACCGATCCCGCCGCCACCCTGGCCCCTGCTTGCCAATGCAGGTATTTTCACCCTCCAGTGGAGAACCTGGTGGCAATCCTGGTGGGGCTACTCCTATTCCAGGCTCCTCTGGTCCTGTTTAACCTCAAGGCCCTACAGGCTGCATCCAGGGCAAGACTGATTCCTGGTGCTGCGACCAAAATTGGCCCTGCCCGAAAGACTGGCAAGAGGCTTACCGAGGGTCCTGATGGAGAATTGTAATGTCGCAATGAATGAGCCCACAAAAATCAAGTGTCACTCTGGAGTGCAGAGATCTGGTATGGATTTACTATGTGGGACCCTGACGGATTGCAGGTAGATCGGTGCCGCTACAAGATGGAGTGGCCTTTTCGTCCCTCCTTTCTTGCTCCGGCTCGTCCAGTGAGGACCACAGCATGCGGAGCATTGACTCCTTCCACATGAGCTGGTCAAGCGTTTGTCTTCCGGGGCATCATGATTCATTGATCTACGACTATACCGACCTGCACAGAAGACCGGCTCTGGCTGGGCGCGTCATTCCGGAGTCCCTGGTGCGAATGACGGGACGGGCAGCTCACATTTGCACGGGATTTATCTTGATTATGAAGGGATGCCCAATTCACCAATAACCCAGTTGTATTTCATGCATTTAATTGATTCAAGCTTTCGCAATGTGCGCATAGCTTGAGATCTGCCGCGCGATAGGGAGCTCGTCATGGATCCGGAATCTCCGTCACTTCCGAAACGTATGGGAGAATGGGACCGCAATCATGGCTGTAGATTTGGGACGACCTGGCTGTACTGAGCATACAATGAGTCGAATTAATCCAAGGGAGTTTCCCCCGTCGGATGTCGGGACACGGTGCCATGGTGGGCCCGCTGCAGGCCGGAATCGTGGTGCCTTTCGTCACACGTCAACCCTCCGCCCTGCTGGGACTGCAAGGTCAGGAGACGTTTTGGTTACATCTCCCTGCAGGACCAAGGTTTCTTGGAGATCGCTCTAAACTCGATCAGCTCCTCGATCAGCTGGCAGAGGCGCGACCACCTCGGGCCTGGAGGCTGGAGCCGCTGAGCAGCGCCGATGTGAGAGAAGCGGCTGCCTTCTGCGATTGGGACATCTGTCCATCAAGCCAGCCCTCTGAAGCACCACAGGAGAGTCCCAGGCCTGTGGTGGAGACCTCAGACGAGGAGTGGATGGCGTCCCCCCTCGGCGAGCAGCTGTGCAGGGCTGGCTCTGGGAGGGGGCGGAGGGACGTCCCTGACACGACATTCGGAGAGGCCGCCACACCGGAGCCCGTGGCGCGCGTCCATGGGGGCCGCGACCTCTTCACTGCTGTGCAGTCCAACCCTGGGCTTGATGAGGCAGGGGCTGACCGTGTCCACCATGCCGCCAATGCTGGCCACGCCGCACCTGGATCCAGTGGGCATCCTGAGCTTCCAGGACACTTGCCCCAGGTGGCTTGCTCGTCGGCCGACGCTCAGGAGCGACGACGAGCTGAAGTTGTCCACGAATCTGCAAGCAACCCAGATGGGAAGCCTTCATATGCAGAGGCCGACCCTCCGCTGCAAGGGCACGCAGGCCCGCCTGCTGTTCAGGGGCCTGACCCGGCGATCCCAGCTTCAAAGACTGGTGTCACTGGTCTGCCTGCATCAGCTGAGCAGGGAAGGGGAGCAGCCAGTGGCATGCCTGGCAGGACGGCGCAAAGGCTTCCTGCAGACTATCTCCCTTCAACATTGGCCTCCATTTCCAGCATCGCTGAGCCCCTGCTTGAGGTAAGATGAGGTAATGGTTTGACTGGAGAGCGTAGTCATACTGCCCAACCACTCATCTCCTGCCGCATGACCAAAACGAGTGTGGCCTGCGGGAGGTGCAGACTGATGCCAAAACCAATCTCTTCCTTCCATGCCGCTCTGCTCCCCACAGTGGCAGTCTAGAGTCCTAGACGAGCCTGGTGTGCTGAACAGCGGCAGGAATATGGTGCTTGCCGTCCCTGCACTGGTCGATACAGGGCTAGTGTTGGATATAATCCTGCTGCGTGCACTCCACCGCACTCCTCGCCCCGGCCGTCTCGCCGTTCTGGTGATTCTTCTTGCGTGTGGGTGGGCGACCTCATTGCGGCAACTGCACTGCCTATATGCATGCACGTTTATAGGTTTCATCCCCCTTCAGAACCCAGGTCTCAGCAGCCCAAGATTCGCATTGCAGTGCATGTGGCCGTGTGTGTCCGATGAGATTCATCTTGCCGGCCTGTCACCATGTGTTACAGGTGTTGCCCTGCAAGGCGTCTTGCATGGCCAGGGCGGCAAATCTTCGTGGTGCTCTCACTGGGTCAGAGATAAATACCCTGGAATGTTGGAGTGAGTCTTGTACAGGGCGATGACATGGGGTCTGTGTCCAGCTTTAACGTGTGAGGTTCCATGTCTGCAGCTTGATACTCATCCCTGTTTGATGCAAAATGCGTTACATCGAGCAGCAGACATTTACTGTCACACTCGCTTGTCTGCCAGATTCCAAGCACGTTGCCAGCATCCTGAAGGCCACCTCAGGTCTTGTCACTGCTACTGTGGACAAGGCGCATGAACTGTAAGTGGGATCTGCAGGGTGAGGAAGGCATGCGTCCAGGTGCTGATCCTGAAGAGAGTGCATGGCCCTTCAGAATCCGGTCACAACAGCATCCCTTCTCCTGTACCTAATGCTACCGCCTTTCTTCACATCCAGGTTTTCAGCGCTGCTGAAGCAGCACCCCAAGGCGTCACTAGCGTATCAAGTCTCTTGCGTGGCCGTGGAGGATGTCGATCTATGCCGGCAAATTGGGGACGGCAAGAGCCTGGAGACTATGCTCACTCTCCTAAGGTACATGGTCAAGCTCTGAAAACTGTATGTCCTAGGCAGCTTGCAAAGGAATAGAAAAGAAGCATCGGCCTGGATGGGGAGAGAATGCAGGTGTCGCCCTGGACCATTTCGTCCAACGAGATGACCACAGGTCTTGAGTAGACCTCCCACTGCTGATCCATGTCGCGCGTACAGATACAACCAGCACTGCAGTGCTGTGATGGAAGAGGAGCTTGCGGCCGCGAAAACAGTCTTGCTGCAAGCATCTGGAGACGAGGCGACACCGGGCATTGAACCGCACAATCAACATCATGCAGCAGATTCCTATCTGCATCCAGCTGCAAGGTTTCATCATGCACAACAGCATACAGCAGATCCCGTGTCAACCCCAACATCTGGCAACGACTACTTGCCAGGCTCTTCTAGCCTGCAGCTCGTCTTGATGACAGCTTCTACGACAGATTGTGAGGTGCTTGGGCGCTGGCTCGAGGCAGCAACACCGCCAGTGGATGCTCCCTGCGCGCCGCAGCGGCACCTTTTGAAGGTAAGATTGGGCTTGAGTCTGTTTGAGGAAGCACAGTGCAGCAGTGAGAGCTGGTGACACTGATGCTCCAGCTATATGTGCTCCTTGCCTACATACCTATCCGTATCCCACCTCCTTTGCCAAAGAGAGTGAATGCAGACAACCAATCTTGGCTTTGGGAGCATTTTCAGGGATCTAGTACAACTCACATGACACGACTGCGCAAGCTGTCCTGTGAGGAGACCCTTGCTGGTATGGTGAGTCAGCGCTCTCGAAGCGTGTGGAGTTACTGGTGTCGAGGGGGTTTACAGGTGTCCTTGGAACCATGCATTGTGGGACACCACTGGCGATGCACAACTTGACAGGGTAACTAAACCAGCACCCCCCTTGCCAATTTCCTATAGACCAAGGACAACGTTCCAGAGTTTTGCCAGGTATGATGGTTGAGTCTAACTACCCTATACGGAGGACTTGCGGGTGCTCTTTGTCGCACAGATGTCCGCTTGGCCATGGTGGAGGTTGCCTCACTCAGACTCATCAATCCTTTTCTTTTCAGAGTTACCTTGACCGTGGGAAGACAGTGATTGTGTACTGTGATACAAGAGAGTCTCCTGAAGCCTGTGCTCATGAGATTGCCAGGTGCGGGCTGAAGAAAGGAGAGGGTCTGCGGAATTCCTTATATCTGTACACCCTGCCATATCATGCATTTATCTTTAGTATACCTTTCCCTTTATGAATCGAGCTCCCTGTAGGTTTGTGCGAGATCCATGGGCGGGCTCTCTTGGGGAGGCTTGTGCAGAATTGGAAGGAACGCATCAAGGACATGGCAGCCCCGGCAGGGAGTCGAGGCAATCTGTAGCTGCCAAGCTGCGGGAGCTGGGCAGGAGATCCTCGCAGGTGCTCGCCGCTCTGGTAGTGCAAGGCTTTGCGTATCACCATGCAGGTAGGAACGAGGCTCAGGGCAGCTGCAACCTGGCAGGACGGCAAGGATTGGTGTGGGCTTGTCAGGAGGAAGAGTGACGGAATGCGCCCTTGCCTTTGGTTCTCAACCTCATCTCCGCCCAACGTCAGGCCTTCCTGCCCAGGAACGGGGCCTGGTGGAAGCTGCAGTCACTCATGGTCTCATCTCCGTGCTGATAACAACGGCGGCCTCGATACATTCCATCAGCTGGGCAGCTGATGTGAGCATTTTCAGACTGGCGTCAGTTGGAAAGGGCAGCATCCAGGAACGCTCATCCTGCGCCAAGTAAGCTGGGGTGACTGGGGAATGGTACATCAGAATTGCTTGATCCCTTCACCATCATTAATTTGTGGATTGCCTGTCCCCTTGCAGAGCTCACCGCCTCTTGCACTCTGTTCGGGGTGCACAGGGCAGGGAGTGCATTTTGACATCAGCTTCAAGTGTGGCCGACTCTGACCTCATGGGCCTTCTTGCGGCTGATAATGCTGAAGTGTCGAGTTGCCTGGCCTCTGAAGGCAACATGAGGCAGGCGCTCCTCGTCAGCATAGGGAGGCAGTTCACTTGCACCGCGCTGGATGTCAAGACTTACGTCGGCTGCACTCTGATGAGCGTGCTGCATGGACCCGCGGTGAGTTAGGAATGTTCCCAGGATGTTTTGAGACAGTACAATGCCTGATCGTCCTACTGCTGCCAAGCTGAGAATCACAACGCTGCAGAGTGCGATAGTCCATCCTGGATTTGGTGCTCTGATGTCATACTTTATGTGGTTGCTGCTCGTTCCCTACCAACAGGCTGCAGCTGCAGCTGCCCAGGCCGCCCTCTGCTGGCTGGTGAAGGACGCCAAGCTTGCGAGCTGGAGTGAGAAAACGGCTCGGTATACCCTCACTCGGCTGGGAAGCACGGCTCTGGAAGCAAATCTGCACCCATGTCAGGCCGGCCTCCTGCAGGTGGGTTGGCAGTCACTGAGTGCCTCTTCGCTTTGCACTTGAGCACAGTCTGCTGCCTGGAGTGCATGGGTGGTGACCTGTGCATCAAACCTGTGTTTGAACGGATGGGTCTCATGCTACCAGACACTTTTCAATGCAGAGAGAACTCGGTGCTGCACGCGAAAGCCTCATCCTCACCTCCCAGCTGCACATAGCATATCTGTGAGAGGGGATGATGAGCATGGGCATACCTTTCATACACGTGGTGACCAGCGAAGGCCACCATTCGGTGACCATCACCCCTTCCTCTCCTGCCGCAGGTGTGTGCCCCTTGATTGGAGCATTCAGCCCAACTGGCAAGCCCTGCATCAATTCATGATCAGCGCACGGGTTGGTGTGGGAGGATCTGGGCATCTAGAACTTGATCGTGCTGCCTCTGTGTATACCCAAGTTGTGCTTGCATCTTTTGCCAGTATCGCTTGGGCAATCCTGTTGGCATGGGTGCCGCAGGTTCTGTGTGTCAGGGTAAACTACCCAATGGTGAATGCAGGATTCGGAGGCGAGAACCGCGGGAGCTGTGGGGTTGAGTCAGCGGTATATCACCGACCGGCTGATGGTGGGTGGTGGCAGCCAAGGCATGCCGGTGCAGGAGGGCTGGTCCAGCCTGCAACCCCGCGCACGCACCTCCTACCGGTATTTTGCGGCACTGCAGCTGCGCGACGTGGCAGCAGGGGTGAGGAGGGCCTGATGGCGGGGGGGATGATTGTTTGAGAGGAGTCCTGCGATGTGGCAAATTGCTATAGCGCATGCCAGGTTGGTGTTACAAAAACTTTCATCAGTCCAAGCGCCGCACTCAGGCATGAATACCAGTCCCCCTGTGCTTCCGTTTACCCACAGGAGGAAGACGAGGTCGTTGGCCAACGCTATGGCGTCAAATCTTTAGCAACTGTGAGGAGATTAAGAAAGGAGGCCATTGGCCATGCCACTTCGGCCTCCTCATTTGCCCAGGTACACTGGTGTACAGACGGGGGATGTTGCCTAGGATGTTCCTTCTCCACACCAACTGGGAAACTAATTCTACATGCTGTGACCTGTCAAAGTGTTTCTTGTCATTCCCTCCGACACTTCAGCCTCAATTCTCACTGTGCTAGGGCATGGGCTGGATTGATTTGGCGGTGCTCCTGAAGCAGTTCAAGGTATGAAGCAGAGGTCGGCTCCACATGCCGCAGTGGTTGAGGGTGGAGAATGCTGCAGTGCCATGAGAAGGGGGAGCACATTGGCACTCATCTCGTGGTCTTTGCTCTGCTTGCATGCCTGCAAATGGTGTGATAATTTCATGCAAGACGTCTCCTGATGGATGCCTTTGCACCCACTTCCAGACGCAGTTGGTGACGCATTCAGGAACAGTATGATACATGGGCTAGAGGAGAGCACATAGCCTCGGCCGCAGGCTCGTTGACATTCAAGATGGGTTCAGTATTGATGCATGCATGTCTGACAAGTTGGCATCGCCATTCCACATCCAGTGTCGTCCAGGCGGTCTAACTTGTTGGCCAATTCCCCAGATCTGCCATACTCGGAATGTTGACAGAGCACTTTAGTTGCACAGCAGCCAATTCTATCTCTGAATCTTTGAGCATCATGGGGCAGAGGTGTCAGACCCACATTCTGGCAAGCTCTTCGCAGAGAATTATAGGAGACAAATTCATATACCACAAAAGTGCAATCAATTCATCGGGTGACTTTGACATCTTCTTATTAAGACCTGTTTCCTTTTTGTGCATCAACCATCTCGTACCCACTCATTGGAGTGGCAGCGAACAGCCCTCCGTGGAGTGCGGATCCTCGACCCAAGTCTCGGCTCCACATGCCGCAGTGGTTGAGGGTGGAGAATGCTGCAGTGCCATGAGAAGGGGGAGCACATTGGCACTCATCTCGTGGTCTTTGCTCTGCTTGCATGCCTGCAAATGGTGTGATAATTTCATGCAAGACGTCTCCTGATGGATGCCTTTGCACCCACTTCCAGACGCAGTTGGTGACGCATTCAGGAACAGTATGATACATGGGCTAGAGGAGAGCACATAGCCTCGGCCGCAGGCTCGTTGACATTCAAGATGGGTTCAGTATTGATACATGCATGTCTGACAAGTTGGCATCGCCATTCCACATCCAGTGTCATCCAGGCGGTCTAACTTGTTGGCCAATTCCCCAGATCTGCCATCCTCGGAATGTTGACAGAGCACTTTAGTTGCACAGCAGCCAATTCTATCTCTGAATCTTTGAGCATCATGGGGCAGAGGTGTCAGACCACATTCTCTCGATCACTTCGAAAGGGAAGAATCCCCCAACTCGTCCAGCAGAGAATCATAGGAGACAAATTCATATACCACAAAAGTGCAATCAATTCATCGGGTGACTTTGACATCTTCTTATTAAGACCTGTTTCCTTTTTGTGCGTCAACCAGCTCGTACCCACTCATTGGAGTGGCAGCGAACAGCCCTCCGTGGAGTGCGGATCCTCGACCCAAGTCGTTCTGGACGATACTTTGGAATCTATTGAGCATCATGGGGCAGAGGTGTCAGACCCACATTCTGGCAAGCTCTTCGCAGAGAATTATAGGAGACAAATTCATATACCACAAAAGTGCAATCAATTCATCGGGTGACTTTGACATCTTCTTATTAAGACCTGTTTCCTTTTTGTGCATCAACCATCTCGTACCCACTCATTGGAGTGGCAGCGAACAGCCCTCCGTGGAGTGCGGATCCTCGACCCAAGTCGTTCTGGACGACACTTTGGAATCTTGTTCTCTCTTCAGGATAGAGGCGGCGCGTCCTTGACTAGAGTCTGGCCGCGAGCCAGGCACGGCGGACATGACGGTCGAAACATCGACAGCGCCCCGGCCCCCACCCCCTCCTGCCTTTTCTTTCACGAAAGGAAGCTCACATGGAGAAGGAGACGGATCTCACATATTCGGCGGCACCAGTCCCCAAGCCCGCATGGTGGTGGCCGTTGCAGCCTCCCTGCTATGGATGACCATCTCCTCCTGGCTCATCCTCGTGAACAAAGCGCTGCTGTCTGGCGGCTTTCCCTACCCCATGGCCCTCTCGTCCCTGGGGATGCTGTTTAGTGGAGTCTGCAGCTACCTAGCATGCAGGGTGCGCTGGGTGGCTGTGCGCAGGGGGGGGTCCGGATCATGGTTGTCGTCTCCTCTGCGTCAGGATCCAATACAGCGCATGCCAACCCCAGTCCCCTTGGAGAGGGGTCCCGTATGGCCTTGTTGCAAAGATGGTCAGGGCGCCCACCGCCGCCCGCGGTGGTACTACCAAGTCCTGATGCGAACCATCCTGCTGCAGTGCCCACATTTATATATGCCTCTCAACCACCCCCTTACTCCCCTCTCTGCCTCGCCCCAGGTGTTCAAGGTGGTGGATGCCCGGCGCACCGTCACTCGGCGCTTCTACCTCACCGGCGTGATGCCGGTGGGGGCGCTGATGGCCCTGAACCTGCTGTGCGGAAACCTGGCCTACCTCTACCTCACCGTGGCTTTCATCCAGATCCTCAAGGCCTTCACCCCCGTCATCACCATGCTCGCCATGTTCTTGGCGGGACTGGAGACCCCCACCCGCCGCCTGGTGGCCGCCGTGGCGGGGATCGCGGTTGGCACCGCCGTCGCGGCTGCGGGGGAGGTGCGGCTGGACGTCCTGGGCGTAGCCATCATGATGCTGAGCGAGGTGTTCGAGGCGGTGCGCCTGGTCCTGACGCAGCGCCTGCTCCAGGGCATGCGGTTCCACCCCATCGAGGGGCTCATGTACCTGGCCCCCTCCTGCTTCCTCTGGCTGGGCCTGGGGTCCCTCCTCCTGGAGGCCCCGCGCATGGCACGCGCCGACGCGCTGGCCGTCGTCCAAGCCCAGCCCGCCACCTTTGTGCTGGCGGCCGTGCTGGGCTTTGGCGTGAACAGCCTGGCCTACATCGTCATCCAGGCCTCCTCCTCCCTGACGCTCAAGGTGATGGGTTGTGGGCGTGGGTGTTGGTGGAGGGGAGGAGATCGTGCAGGGGGATCAGTCGACGGCCTCGCAGTATGAGGAGGGAGCCTCGGTGCTGACTCCTAGTACCTGACACCAAGAGGTATCTGCGTGTTCGGGACGCCAAGCATGTCTTGAAGCCCAATCCTCCCCCTCCAGCCCCCTTCACCCCCCCCCTTCACCGCCCCGCAGGTCCTCGGCACCGTGAAGAACTCGGTGGTGGTGCTGCTCGGCGTCGCGCTCCTGGGTGAGAGGGTCACGCTGCTGCAGGGCGTGGGGTATGGCGGCTCTGTGGCGTCCTTCTGCTGGTACCAGCAGATCAAGATGCAGCAGGTGCATGGCAGGGCCCCCCCGCCACCGGAGGTGAACAGGACCAGGTCATCACAGGGGCCGCTCGCTTCCGAAACAAAGGCCACATTGGAGCCGTGATGGGAAACCGGGCGGCCCCAGGGCAGACAATCACCAAACTTGTCGCGATTCCTGATACTATCTTTTCCCAATGCTTTTGCAAATCCTTGTGACCACCTTGGTAGCACATGTTCTGTTACACCCTCATGCCGCGAAGGGTACCAGTGGCAGAGCCCTTGCACATCTTCACTGGGGCGGTTCCTCAAGGGGTCGACAAGAGTGACAGCCAGGCGGGGAAATGTAGGTTGCAACAAAGTCCCAGGCCGAGTCTACACCAGTTTTTGAAAGGTAAACCGAGGAAGACAAAGGAGATAGCAGCTGAGATGCTCAAAAGTATATCCTGAAGAGGGGAGTGTCATTCTCCTTCTCGAGAGGGTCGATGCTCCAGACGCACGCCTGGATGTCATTTGGTTCGTCAGCTCTGCAGATTCCGCTGAGCCCCACTGCTGTTGGAGGAGTCTTCTGCTTGGAGCTGCAAGTAGATTTTATATCGTCATATGAGAGGAATTTGCGACATGAACCTCAACGCATAAACTTTGCAGGGATGCTACCCTGTATGCCGTACAAGCACAGCGGGTATATCATCACAACCGCCAAAAATGCACCTCCTCATCACTTCCAAGGAAGAAACTCTCCAACTTCTCACGTCGGAAACTCAAACATGGAGAGCAGGTTTGCTGGTGGTGCCTGCGAAGCCTGCATCCCACTTCCACCTGCCTTAACAACCCCACTCTGCCTCCCTGCCGGTCCCTCCCTCGGTGGCTGAGGAGGCGGACTACAAGGGAATTAAGTGGTTACTTCCATAATATCGAGGTTGAATGAGGCGCTGGAACGAACGGAAACCAGGTGTCGCCATGCAGAGGTCAGGAAATACACCGCCTCCGTAGGAGCACCGACATACCGACACTATCTGGTCAAGCCCACCTGGCTACATCTGGCTTGGGGTCCTTCTTTTTACCCCAGAACATTTGGTTCTTTTAAGTTTTCTTGTTGGCCAGTTGACACGACAAAACCTGCCTATCTTTTTGGTGGACAGTCGTGCGAAGCACAGGAGATGCACGCCGAGACTGGGCTCGTCCCGTGGGTTTGTGGGAGGATGCCGAAGTAATACTGGTACCAGGACAAAACGATATCTATTGGTCGATGGAGCGAGTGTAGAATGAGTGTCTAAAGCGATCGCGTCCAGCAATCAGTATCCGACCAAGTGCCCGGTGGCAAGCGAGGAACAGCTTTGATGATTCGCGGAAGGCTGGCGAGCAAAACCGTAATGGTCTCGGTCCCCACCGACTCGCATCTTTGAAGGAGTGCTGACAGTCCATACATTCGGGATGGGAAGGAGCAGTGGATCACATTCAATTGCCTGGACGTAAATGTCTTTGTAGAAAGAACCTATCGCATACATGGCCGGCTCAGTGTGCAACGCTGAGGGACTGCCTTTCATTGCAGTGGGGCGCCAGCCCAACAGGCGAACACGCGGTCCACATGTGGTTTGAAGCTCACCAACATCCCCTGGTGCCCCGCGCACCGCCATGCAGTGCATCCGCCGACCTCCCATCCATTTGTGCCGTCTCATGGCTGCGCACCCCCCGCCTCAGGCCGCTTTGGAGGAGTAGGTGCTCTCAAAAATCTTGTCTGCGTTACCCACCTCAAACCCCTCGCGGCGGTGGTGCTCCTGGACCTGGTCCTCCGCCAGCCCCTGGAACTCGGGCAGGACCAGCCGCTCCGCGAACTCGATGTAGGAGGTGGGCACCAGCGCGGAGGCCCCGCAGGAGAAAGAAAACAGGCGCGCGTCGGCGCGCGTGGAGGCCTGGCGCAGCAGGCCGTCTGGGGACACCTTGACCGCGCCGCCCTCTGCGTTCAGCGCAAAGCCGGCGCCCTGCAGGCGGCCGATGAGGTCGTCCAGCCCCGCCACGTCCCGCATGGCATGCACAGAGAGCGTGGTGTGGTTCAGGGCCGCGCCGTTGGCGAGCACCCAGGCCCCGTACTCGCTCTCGGCGGCCACCGCCGCGTACTGCGCGCGGGAGGGTGCGGGCCAGGGCGTGCCGCCTCCCGCGGCGGCCAGCAGCGAGTGCCGCGCCAGCAGAGTGCGCGGCGTGGCGCCCAGCGTGGCGGCGATGGCCTCGCGTGCGGCGGCGTCCACCTCCCCCACCAGCAGCTCGGAGATGAAGATGCGGGGCAGGGAGGGGCAGGGCGGCGCGAACCAGCGCGCACGCAGCTTCTTGGCCGGGAAGCGCAGCTCGTCGCGCGCCCGCCAGCCCAGCTCCAGGAAGGTGGGCGCCAGCGAATCGATGCCCAGCCCAGGCACGCCCAGCGTGCGGAAGGCCAGGTGGTCGTACACCAGGTCGTCGTTGGGGTATTGCTCCGTCAGCATCTCCGCAGCAGCCAGGGAGGTGGGGTTCAGAGCTGGAAGGGGGTGGGGACGGGGTGGAGATGGGGGGGAAGGGAAGGGGTGCCGGAGCACAGCCCGCGAGTCCTGATCCCACAAAAGTTGCCAGCGAAGCTGTGATGATCCACTGCAATCATGGTAGTTCAGCAGGCACAATCAGCACGCTGGTGTGAAATCAGCCACCCTCCCGACACCCGTCAAACCCGCCACTAACCCCACACACCCCAGTAGGGTTCCAATAGCCCCTGGACAAAGGTATGGGCCAGTTCCAGGGTGTCTGCCGACTCCCTGTCCCCCACCCGATGGCCATTCGTGGCGAGCCCAATGCTAGATCCCGCACGAGCTGATCGCGGGGCCAATCGAGGGCCCAGCCTGGGAGTGCTCAGCAAGCTTCTCATAGGGCGGAGGAGGAAGGTCGACATAAGCTGCCCCGCCCCCGATCTGGCTGGGAGTGCCGCAGGAAATGACTGCACGCGTAGTCTGTTTTTCGGGTGTTGTATGAATGTCTACTGACGAGAGTGACAGGATTCATTGGCCCAGCATTTCGTCCAGGGAGGACACTGTTCTTCAGACCGGCACACGCTGCCCGGCCTCCGAAAGGCCACGTGAACCTCGAGATGTTTGAAAACCACACTCTTGTATATTACAGAATATTACCTTGGGGTGCGCCACAGTGTCCTGGAGCTTAACACGTTAAGAATACGCTTATTGGGAAAAGTGGGGGCCGTCATCATCTCTCTTTGACCAGCGGGGTTGTGAGTCCTTGTGGAAAAAGGTGGGGGGGGCGTCCAGGACCATCCGTTTCTGCAGCATCATACGCCCACCAGGGGCCTGTCCGTCTCCTGGCCATATGCGCTGCGGTCCACATCATCAGCCATGGATACATGCTGCAGCTTCACTCGGAAGGCGGGGCTGTCCTTTGCTGCACCCAGCCGGATGAGATCCCCGGGCTGGAGCCGGACGGGGACGTTTGGGACCAGCCGCCTGTCGTTCAGGAAGGTTCCCTGTGGGGGGATGCATGCGTGTCGAGGCGGGTGAGCAGAGCAGCCTTGGCAAAAGCAGCTCATCAGGAGAAGCCGGCACCTGATATGAGGGCATGGTCAGTCCCCTCACCGTCCCTACAGACCAGGGACAGGGTTCTTCATCCCCCACAAACACCACCTTACCTGGCCGCTGCCAAGGTCGGTCACGAGGTAGTCGCCCTCATGGCTCTGCACCCAGGCATGGCGGAGCGCTGCAGCGGGGTCTCTAACCCCCGCATCCCCGCCAGACCCCATGACAAGGCCATCGGCGCCCAGCCGGGTCCAGGGCTGGCCGGCGGCACCACTGCCCGCGCCGCTCCCCGCCCCATTGCCGGCGCAGCTCACCCCTTTCCCCGCCCCAGCTCCCGTGCCGGCCATGGGAGCCAGGACCCAGTGGGCCTTGGCGGCGCGCAGTAGGGCGGCGTCGTCCCGCAGCAGGGTGTCGAACTGGCCCGGCTCGAAGCCGGAGGGCCTGTCGCGGAGCATGCAGCGCGGCACACGCTCCGCGGAGGCCAGCGAGGACCCGTTCCCGCCCAGCACCCAGCCCAGCACCGCCGGCATGGAGGCCTTCATCACCACCTGACCCATGACACGGCCCGGGTGCGGAATGCGCCAGGCTGTCATGCGGCTCAGCGGGCCCAGGCCCTCGCCCAGGTACGCCTTGTAGGTGGAGGCCATGAAGGCCGCCATGCCCGCCATACCATGCACCACGGAGGAGCGCAGCATGCGCCGCAGCTGGTACTGCCTCAGGATGTGCGCCACGGAGCGGCTGCCGCTGGACCGCAGCTCCTGCACCATCTGGAAGCTATCCTCGATCGCCATGCCCCCTCCCTGACCCAGGTTGGGCTGCGCGCAAGAGGTGGGGAGATAGTTTGTGGGGGGGAGTCGGGGGGGTCCCAGATGCCGCTGTGGAAATGCTTGCCACTGCATATGGGGACCACTGCAGGGAGCTGAAGAGTCCTACCGATTGGAGCAGCCCCGCTGAGAGCACAGCGATCGCTTTGCATGTGTCCGGACACCAAACCCCATGCCATCACAGGCACAGCTGTACCTGCATGGCATGTGCCGAATCGCCCAGCAGAACCACTCGGCCCTTGTACCACGTCATGGTGGGGGGCCGGTCGAAGATGTCGCGCCGAAGAATGTCGTCCTCTCGAGTGGCCATGATGAGATCCGTCACTGTGCGGAAGAGAGGGGAACATACATGGAACCCAATCCGGGGTGCAAAGCCGAGAGGGCACACACGTACTCCCCCCTCATTCCCAACCCACCGCCTCCTTGCAGGTCTCACCGTTGTCAGACCAGGAGCCAAAGATACGCATGAGTCGTTCCTGGCGCTGACCTGGCGGGTCTGAGCCCCCCGCTGGCTCTTTGTGGAAGGCATACCACTGCATCTTGCCGCCGCCCACATCGCTGGACACAAAGTACTTGCCGTTGCCCAGGAACACCCGGTATCCCACTGCGGGGTACAGAGGTTTGTGGGTTAGGAGCTGCCACGCGAGGGGTGCAACTGCTGGGATGATAACTCAGTGACCATTCAGGCCGTCAGGCTATGATACCAGCTGCACAGCAGAAAGGACCTTGTCCTCAAAGAATCAAAGAGCCGACCCACACCCTCCATGCAGCACTGCCAAACCCGACACCCACCTGTATCAATGTCACCGGGGGTGAAATCAGCTATGCCAGTGTAGCACGTGTAGTTAGAGTAGTTTGGCTTGGAATCGCCTAGCAGCTTGGATCGGACCTGGACGGGGGAGGGAACAGAGCAGCACATCAGGATGCAGCACAGACCATGCTGGGCTCAAGGGGATTCGAATATTTGGGAAGCTGATTGACAGGCTCATTGAATCCCAGTGAACGGCAATCTGACGAAGCAGCGTCGGTGACAACAGTGAATGCTATAGGCTACACCACAGGACTGGGCGTAATAACCCCCATCCCCCCTGGCCAACCCACCTTTGACCAAATGCCGTCTGCCCCGACCAGCAAGTCCCCCTTCACCCGCCGTCCATCCGAAAGGATGGCAGTGACGTGACCCGCAGCATCCCGCTCGTCAATAAAGTCAACGACGTTGGCATTGTTTGAGATGGCATCAGGTCCGCCCAGCTCGCAGCATCGCTCGGCCAAGATCTCCTGTGCGTGTGGAAAGGAGCGTGGCAGACTGTGGATGGACAGCTCCCTCTGCAATTGCACCAAGAAGCAATCTGCAATCCGGTGCATCCTCAGTCACCTGCATGCTGGGTACCATCCTGGGCACGCAAGGGCGGCCCAGCATCTCACCTGCAATCTGGTCCGACTGATGACTCTAGTGACTGGCAGGCCGCGGCCCACAGCAGGGTGGAAGGTGTCAAACTTGACATACCTGAGAAGGAAAGGGGGAGAGTGATTGGGATGAAGACGACCTCCATTCCCTCTCACTGCACTGTGCTGCTTGCCGCTGTCTCCGCAAGCGAGGCAGTCTGGCATGCCATTCCTCGCCCCCCGGCCCCTGGGCACTCCAGCCCCCTCACCAGTCCCCTGTGATGCCGTCACAGAGTCCGTTGATCCTGTCCCCCGTGATGCAGCCCTCGTCCAGGATCCTCTGGCCCACATGCTCATCTAGGGCCTCCAGCGCTGCCAGCGCATTGCTCTGCAGCTGGATGGGTCCGCGGTACTTCCCCTCGCCACGAATGGCGGTCAGGTCACGCTCGAGGACCGTGACCCTGAATCCCGCCTTGAGCAGTCCCACGGCCAGCACTAGCCCGCCAATGCCAGCCCCGGCTATGATCACATGCATCGGATCTTGGGTCGCCGAGGCCTCGGCGACAGACGGGGTCATGGTGGCCCTCATGGCCCGCGTGAGGTTCCGTTTACGCGTGCAATGGTCTAACAAGGGCGCTAAATGCCGCGTAAACCTGTGCCGGGCACCATGTAGCCCACGAGGGAGCTTCGGTAGGCATGGGTGGGGCGACGTGCGGGTAGACGTGGTGGTTGTACTCGACGCCATGGGCAGGAAAGGCCTATCTCTAATCGTCTACCTAGTGCGTGTTACGCTGTACTAGGGTCACAATTGATGTAGTAAGCTCCATGAGACTCGCCGTGCCTTATCAGCGATTTGCAGGGGCGGGGGTTCCCATGCCAAATCTTCCCTGCAAGATTCTGCGCGGTTCGAGCATGGCGCCCCCGTGCCCCCGGCCCCCCCTGCTCGTGGATTCGCTAAATCTCCATACAGACGGTAGTCAGTGTATTGAGCAAGCGCCGCGAGAGCACCTTAATTCCACAATATCATTATTGCACTGGATTGTATCGTCCAAGCTCCGAAAAGCCAGTGACGCAGGACTCGTGTGTGCCGATGCAGGACGAGGTGGAGGGGCAATCCCAGCCAGATGCAGGGACCGTTCTATACGATCTAGATCTCACCAATGCCCACCTCCATTCATTGGATGAGGTGTCCTTGCCAAACACCATGCGGGTGGGTGGTGTGATGGGCCTGGAAATTGGAACCTGGCAGCCTCAGCCCAGCAACTTTTCTGTAGGCCTGTCCAGCCCCCTCGCCCACGCCATGCAGGTCTTGGATGCGACGGCCAACCGTCTGAAAAGCATAGAGGCTGCGCTACTGCGGCTGGACGGGCTCACGAAGCTGTGCCTGCGGCAGAACCTGCTGACCTCCGCAGAGGAAGTGGAGGCGCTGGCCTCCGCGCCCTGTGAGTTTGTAGGCTGGAGAGTGCAGGCTTTCAGTGACCTGTGGAACACAATGCAAGGTCTTGTGGAGACTTGTCGCTCAAAGATCAACGTACACCTCTGCAGGCTTGGAGGAGTTGGATCTCCGGGACAACCAATTCACACAGGTCGTGGTCTCCTCGGGGTGGGCTCCTCCGGTTTGAATTGGAGTGTGCCATGATGCCGCACCACCCCCATATCGCAGCCTTCCTCAAGAGAATCCTCCCTGATGTGCCCTGCTCTCCCTCTTCCTCACTTGCTGTGCAGGTCCCGAACTTCCGCGGCTTTTTCTCCTTGACAAACTTGGACATGTCTTACAACCAGTTTGTGAGCCTCGAGGCATTGTCCAGCCTGCCTGGGCCCAGGCTGACGCACCTGTACTGCGCTGCCAACAAGATCGCTTCCATGGAGGGCATCGCACACCTCGAAAGTGGGTGCATGGCACAGGGGGTGGCTGTCCTCATACTTCCCCGAAAGGGCCCATGCGAGGCATGCACGCCACCCAGGTGCATGCCTCGCTCCTTCACCAGCGACATCACAGGCTCAGCATGCCAGGATCCTCCCACTTGCGACAGGTCTGAGAGTCCTGGACCTTGGGAGCAACCGCTTGCGCTGCATTGAGGGGCTGGAAGGGATGTGCCTGCTGGACAGCTTGTGGCTGGGCCGGAATCGGATCACTCAGATCAATGGGCTGAGCAGGTGCGGGGCCAGGGGCCAGCGGGTGGTGTGCCGACTGGATGAATGCGGCCCCCCTCCGTGTCATGTTTTGAGACCATGTTTGCGGCCGGATGGCGCCGCGATACTAGAGCCCACCATGGGCTGGACGTGAGTGTGCCGGGATATCTGGACCCTGTGATGTACACCTCCTCCGGTCAGCCGTGCCCCTGCCTGAGTTTTCTCGGCAGCAAGCCGCCGCCCACACCTGCCACCTGCACCTCTCCCTGTGCAGTTTGAGCCGCCTCATCCGTCTGTCCCTGCAAAGCAACCGCCTGGCCAGGATATCAGGGTTGAGTGGGTGCACGGCACTCGAAGAGCTGTACCTAAGCCACAACGGGCTGACCACCCTGGAGGTGAGGCAACAAACATGCTGTGAAGAGGAGGTCTCGCTTACGGCCGGCATGAGTATCAATGTGCATGCCGCTCCCGCGAGCAGTTTCATGCTCATGCTGAGCGCTGCGGCAGCTGACACGTCACCCCCTGCCCGCCTCAGGGCCTTGAGGGCTTGGCCAACCTCCGCATCCTGGACGTGGCCAACAACAGACTGACATCCCTGGCCGGCCTCCAAGGCTTCCCCCAGCTCACCGACCTGTGGGCCAACGACAATCAGCTGGCGTCGCTCGACGAGGCAGGGGCGGAGCTGGAGCATGTCCGCGACAGCCTCACCTGCCTCTACCTGGGGGGTAATCCCTGCGCAAAAGAAACCCAGTATCGCCTGAGGCTGGAGCATACCCTGCCCAACTTGGAACAGCTGGACGATTCCGTGCTGAGGGGTGCGTGATGGGGGCCCCTGATGTAGAATAGGGGAGCTCCAGGCCACAGGCTGTGGGGTAGCCGCACGGAACCCGCGCGGAGGGTTTCGGAGAGGAAAGGAATGGCTTGGAATGTTGGAAATCGAAGGGACAGTCGAAGCTCGACGACAACAAAGAGAGCACACGACAAAACACCAAACAACAGATTAACTTTCGAGACCTTGCACAAAGAAACTGTGCTGTACGAAGGTGGCACTCTTTTTGCACTTTGCGAGAAGCAGTCGTGGTTGTGCCTCGGAACCCTTTTGTGAGGACAAGCCCGAGCCCGACAGCCGGTGTAAGGCAACATGCAGGTCACAATGCGTTTTCAGAGCGGTGTGGTGCCACATCGCGCTCCCCCGAGGCCTGCCAGTCTGCGATGCGGTACAGGTTTCAAAACGGCTTCGACGCCGTGCAGGAGGGCACGGGCCCCCAGACTGCCAGTCCAGGCGGCACTACACAAGCGCAGCTCGGAATCGGAGCTGGAGAGTGCGCATGGAAAGGCTTTGCAGCTGGTGCGTGTTGCTCGATGGTGACCATCCTGTACTGCTGTCGAGCGGTGATGCGGACGGGCAGCGACGAGGGTTGATGTGGACGCTTGTGCTCAGCCCCTCCGAATATGGTACCTCTGGTCACAGGTCGCCGACGTCCCCTTCCGGGAGCCGTTTGTGCGCTCGTTCCTACTCGGGATAGGCAGCGGCCTGCTGCTGGAAGGAGCCCATGTCCTCATGCAGGTGGGTGGGCAATGGCAGCCGGCGAGACCACCATGTCGCTAGCCAAGATTATTGCATACCACACGCACTCGATACTTCCCCGGGTTGCTCACAAGTTGAGCTGTCTTTTCATTTGTCACCCGCAGATGCTTGGAAGTCAGGACCTAGGTGCCTTTTCGTACTCCCCTGCCCTGGTGGCAGACCATATTCTGGCATTGTGAGTCGATGGGGGTGGAAGGAAGGTGTCTAGCATGAACAGATGGAGTCAGGTTGGCCCAGAATGTATTTGTTACTCGTGCTGCTGGCTGCAAGTGGTGTTGTTGACCGGGCTTCCCCTTGTCATCCTGCAGCACCAGCTGGTTTGGGCTGTATTTCCTGGAGGCAGCTGCCGTCCTCTCGGTGCTCAAGCGCTACAATGGTGATGAACAGGCAGCGGTGAGATGACGCTTCAGGGTGTTCTGCTCTGTCTGGTGTGAGTTGTGCTGAACCCTGGCCAGGTGATATTTTTAGCTCTTATTTTACGCCGATCTTTGGCGAGCGGCTAACTTTTTCCCATGCCCCTATTGTATAGCACCTCACACACACACGCAGTCAAACTAATGTGTCATCTCTTCTCCCTGTCTTCAGGCCAAGGACCTCGCAAACCTGTCCACCCTGCCAAAGCGCCTCATTCCCCGTCTGCCTTTCTTCTCCCGCGAATCCCGCTTCACCAAGCCCCTCCTTGCGTCGGCCTCTGAAGCCACTGGCACCAAGTCCACAGCGACAGTGGATGCTGAAGCGATGGTGGAGCCTGCCACCAAGCTTGCCACGAGCACCCTGGTGGAGCCCATGCCTCGGGGCGGGACGGTCGTCCGACCCCAGGGAGAAAACAGTGTGGTCAGAGCACCCCCGCGCAAAGTGAGCAGTGTTCCGGATTCGTGGGGCGCAACGTGTGTATGTTCCTGGTCTGTGTATCTGCTGTACACACCATGAGTCTGTCTCTGAAAACATTGCTTATCATCGCAATGTGTGGCTTGCTGTACCTCTCCTCACCCCGCCCCCTGCAACTCACCGCCTCGCAGCCGGCCACCTCTGTCCCCCTGCCCCGCGCGCCCTCCTCCGCCGAGGAAATGGCGGCGGGCGTGGCCAAACGTGCGCGCGAGCTGCGGGACCGAAGCGGCTACCTGAAGAACATGTGGTACGCGGTGGCCCTCTCCGCCAACGTCGGCAGCAAAGAGCCGGTGAAGGTGCAGCTGTGCGGGCGCGAGATGGTGCTCTTCCGCGACGCCACATCGGGGGATGTGCAGGCACTGGACAACGTGTGCCCCCACCGCGGCGCCCCGCTCTCCTCGGGCTGGCTGTCAGAGAAGGAGTCGGGGACGTGCGTGGTGTGCCCCTACCATGGCTGGGCCCTGGATGGGGCTGGGGCGCTCAAGGATGTGCCGGTGAGTGGCGGAGGGTTGTGAGGGGGGGCGCCGGGGTTTAAGGGGAGGGGGTGGAGAGGGGGACAGGAGGCGCTGGGGTAGGGGGATTAGGATAGCGGTGAGGGGATCTGCTGCTTCTGCTTCATGAGGGGTTTGTCCCGCCAGTCCATTGCGTGCCAGACTACACGAAATGGTCTCACAGTACATATGGAGTCCTCACAGCCTGCTCAGTGGCTTTGTCGGTGCCCCCTTTCCACTCTCCAAACAACCCTCGTCATGCCTCCGCCACCCTCATCCCCAGGCCGCCATGAACAAGGGCGAGTGGCCCAAGCGCTCGCTGATGAACGTGTACGACGTGGAGGAGAAGGGCGGCTTCGTCTGGCTCTTCTACGGCAGCCGCCGCATGCCCGTGAACGAGCGGCCACCCATCCCCTACATCCCCGAGCTGGACGACGGCGGCTGGCGCGCGGTGTATGAGGAAATGGAGTTCGAGTGCAACCACTTTGGCGTGTTTGAGAATGCCATCGACATGGTGGGTGGGCTGGATGCCTGATCTCCAGGGTGGGAGGGGTGGCACATGTTCTCGTTTCCAGTCTGCTGTGTGAATTTGTGGAGACTCCTTGTCCATCCCAGATGCCCATTCTCTTATGCATGATGAGCAAATTGTCGCCTCAGCCCAAGACCTTCCTGCCCCTCTCCTTCAACCTTCATCCCCTCCTCACATGTTTTCCGCCTGTGTGCAGGCACACATCCACTACCTGCACGGCGACTCGTTTGGGAACGCCGACGCGCCCGAGATCAAGGACATGCAGGTAGCCAGCGACGCCTATGGCATCACCGCCACCTTCACCATCACCAACAAGCCCGTGAATGCCTTTTGGTCCATGTTCCAGGTCCGCCGGGGAATGGGGACTTGGAGGGTTTGGCAGCATGGCAAACTGGGGTCCAGAAGCCGTAGCGCGGGCAGGCAGATGGCCGCAAGCGCTATTCCCATGCACGCAGAGAAGCCGTGTGTACGCAGCTTTCGCATTGCTGCTGGCTCATTGCGACTCAGGGTGGGGCAGGGATGCCTTTTCCGCACCCACCTGCTGCTGGCTGTCTCTTGCACGAAGGGGCACACGGAACCCCCCACCACCACCACCACACACATCACCACTACACCCCAGGTTCCGGAGGTGTTTGTGACGGCGCGCGTCTTCCTGCCCTCCACCTCCGTGGTGACCTTCACGCTGGGGGCGGGCCTGTCCTTCACCACCTTTGTCAACACCGTGCCCCTCACCGCCACGCGCTCCGTCAACCGCTTCGCCCTCATCCGCCGTCTGGCCTCCGACCGCACGGGCTTGTTCAACGCGCGCATCTGGGACGGCATGGCGCGCGACGCAATGCGCAAGATCCTGTCCGAGGACAAGGCCATGGTGGAGCAGCTGCGCTACGACCTCCTCCCCGCCGAGTACAGGTGGGCTGATTTTTGGTGTGGGGAGGAAAGGGAGGATGTGAAGTGGTGAAAGGGGTGACGACAGGGTGACGACATTGAATGCCAAGAGCAGGATCAGCGGTCTTGACTCATTGATGCGCTGGAGCATGCAGCGAGCTCCTCTGCCCATCTGGGGTCCTGAGTGCCTGACACTTTACACCACCTCGCATGCAGTATCATGTTAACATTGCATCACAAAGGATCATTCCAACAACCCCCACCATTTCCCTTCCCACTGCTGCAGCGTGCGGGCCGACCTGCCTCAGGTGGCCTTCCGCAAGCTCAGGCAGCAGTACGTCGACATGGGGTATGGACTGCCCACGGAGACGTTTGTACCCACACACACTGTGCCGGCAAACTTGGACTGAGCCGTGCGGGTCTTCGCCGGTCAAATATCATGCAATCGGCAGGTGGGGGTGCTGTAATGCGCGCCCCATCCCAAGTCGTCTGGGTTCCTTTGGAGCACCCCTGTGGCCTCCGACGCACAGCCCACACACACAAGTCCCCGCCATCTTCCCAGAATAATAATCTCGCCCACAGCCATCCTCACCCACCCTCCTGCGCGTGTGGAATGCTCCCATCCCACGCCCATGTACCATGCGTCACCAAAATCCCCTCTCAGTCTTTTCTCCATCACAGAAGCTTGTTCTCTTCTGGCCGAGGCAGCGCCCTCAGGGGCTCCTTGCCGTCGCTTTTCCCTCCAAAACGCACCGTCCCCCATTCTTAGAACACAGCTAGCCCTAGGCAGATGCCTAATCCCATATATAGAACGGACGATGATGCAACCCATGCCCCACTCTGCTGCATGCAGTGACCCCCCACATAATACACCCCCCCCCCCGGACTGTACCCACTACTGATGTGGCAGCCTGCTTGAGCATCACAAACAAACTCTGCCTGTCCCTTGCACCCGCGTTGAGCCGATCCATACGAAATTTAGTGCACAACTTTCCTCTTTGTAGCCCGTACGAAGGCACCTCTTATCCCATAACCTTTGGTTCCTGTGTTGCCCGATCGATACCTGTCCCGACTGGTGCCTCAAACTGTTTTCCCCCTGCATCTGAACCGGCCATATATGCATGCCGTGTGGTCATAGCCCTCCGTACCCCTGCCTTTCATACTGCGTGTAAGAGCTGATCCCCCTTATGCGGGCACAGCGTCGGCACAACTCAGATCAGCGCCATGGGGGGAGGTCTTGTCGTGGGTGATGCACCTCCCAAGCCGACAAGGATGACGGGCAGGGATTAATAATTGCCAGGGATGATCACGTAACGGTTTACCCATTGAGGGCTTCCCTGTGCTCGCGCTCCTGCAGTGAGGACCTGAGCAACACTCAAAGTACTAACCACGGCTGCCTCTACCTGTACAAAGACTGGGTCAGCTTCGTCCCTTACATCTCGGCGATGTTTTAATCTGTGAATCCTCCATCTGTACTGCTGTCCTTATGCAGGTCCTTCATCGCCTCGGCATGAGATGGACCGCAAATCTAGGATACAGGATTACTAGCTCGCAGCTATCAGGGTGCATGCGAGCCTGGTCGTCCATCCAAGCGGATCCCGCGACTCGCTTGCCGGCACTGCAGGTCGGGTGCATGGGGTGGCCGTGCTGGGATCTGCACGGAAACATTGGCTTGACCACGTCCCCCCAGCTTCTCATCTGCAGCGAAATTGGACAACCTTCAATCCTCAGCAGGCTTACAGATGTCTGAGAGCTCCACACCGCGCAACCTATCTGGTGGCGAGCTCTGCGGTGAGAGCCTGCGGTCATAGCCCTCCGTACCCCTGCCTTTCATACTGCGTGTAAGAGCTGATCCCCCTTATGCGGGCACAGCGTCGGCACAACTCAGATCAACGCCATTGGGGTAGGTCCTGTCGTGGGTGATGCACCTCCCAAGCCGACAAGGATGACGGGCAGGGATTAACAATTGCCAGGGATGATCACGTAACGGTTTACCCATTGAGGGCTTCCCTGTGCTCGCGCTCCTGCAGCGAGGACCTGAGCAACACTCAAAGTACCAATGACGGCTGCCTCTACCTGTACAAAGACTGGGTCAGCTTCGTCCCTTACATCTCGGCGATGTTTTAATCTGTGAATCCTCCATCTGGACTGCTGTCCTTATGCAGGTCCTTCATCGCCTCGGCATGAGATGGACCGCAAATCTAGGATACAAGATTACTAGCTCGCAGCTATCAGGGTGCATGCGCGCCGGGTCGTCCATCCAAGCGGATCCCGCGACTCGCTTGCCGGCACTGCAGGTCGGGTGCATGGGGTGGCCGTGCTGGGATCTGCACGGAAACATTGGCTTGACCACGTCCCCCAAGCTTCTCATCTGCAGCGAAATGGACAACCTTCAATCCTCAGCAGGCTTACAGATGTCTGAGAGCTCCACACCGCGCAACCTATCTGGTGGCGAGCTCTGCGGTGAGAGCCTGCAGCAGCCTGGCAAGGGTTCAGGGAGGCCATTCAGGTTGTGAGGCAGACAGGAAGGGCCAAGATGGGGAACTTGAGGTGTTAAGCCTAATCGTCCCATTCTTTCAGGCCCATGCTGGCCAGAATGGACTACCAGTAGCCGCGCGGGCAATGGCAACCCTTCCCGAGGATGGTAAACCCCAAGCTAGGCCCCAGGGCACACAACCTCATCTCACCATAGAAGAGAAGGGGGAGCGCATGAGTGAGATGCACATAGTCAAGGAGATTGCAAAGTGAGTTGGTGCACTGCCGTGGAGGCTCATCATGTGCCGAGCAAAGATGTGCTTTGTGAAAGTGTATTATGGCAGCCAGCGAATTCGGGGCAATGTGCCCAGGGCCCCTGCCACACAGAGTATATTCTCACTCTCGCAGATACCTTAATACAGAGACGAGTCCAGAGTTCAGACGAAGGGCAGGCATAGCCGTGGCATTGCTCGTCGGGGGCAAGCTCCTCAACATACAAGTTCCTTTTTTCTTCAAGTACACAGGTGAATCAGGGCTTGAAGGCGCTGCACCACGTTTCAGAATTGGTAGAGGGAGCATCCTTGCATGATCGTCACGCCGACAAGCTCTCCTTAGATTGGTTGAAGCACGCATACATGCATGCGTGTTCATGCAGCCCTGCCACTTCATTTGACTGCGCCCTCGATACCTCTTATGCAGTCGACGCACTGAATGCTGATCCTTCCGGCCTCACGCCAGCCTCAGTGGCAGGCCTCATGGTGTTGGGCCCCACCTCTCTGGTGCTGGGGTATGGGCTGGCACGCATTGGCGCATCTTTTTGCAGCGAAGCCCGGAATGCTGTCTTTGCCTCGGTGAGCATTACAGCGCTAGAAAGGCAGGGAGTGGCACTCTGGCAGCAGCTGCAAGACTGACTTGGTCCCTTTTAGGAGTACCAAACTTGCCAAGACCTGCCGGAACCTGATGTTTCAATTATATGCCTTCTGATCCGGGCTATGAAAGTCTCAAAGCATCTGATGCAAACATGTTTCATGCCATCCCAATCACAGGTTGCGCAGTCGACCATCCGCAATGTGGCGGTCCGCACCTTTGCTCACCTGCACAACCTGGACCTGGCGTTCCATCTTTCCAGACAGACGGGGGCTGTGTCGCGTGTGATCGATCGAGGCTCCCGAGGCATCAATTTTGTGCTCAGGTGTGACATGTGTTTGCGGGCAGTGGCTCTGGGATTTGTGTAGTTTGTTCCCAAGTTAGGCTTATGCACTGTTGTCTGACAAGGAAGCTTCTGTGATCTCAGCCGCACGAAGCCACATGTGTCATGGCCCCTCCATGATGGAGCATCCTGCTCACCCACTGCTCGCACATACCCATCTCTCCAGCTCCATGGTCTTCAATCTAGTGCCAACGGCACTGGAGGTGGCCCTGGTGGCAGGGGTCCTGGCCTACAAGTGCGGCCCGGCCTTTGCTGCGCTCACAGGGGTGACGATAGCCTTGTACACCGCCTTTACCTTTGCGATCACACAGGCACGGGGCAAGGATGTGGAGTGGGGGGTACTGGAATGAATCATTCTTGGTTTCTGGGACACAAATTTAGGCAGTCATCATGTATTGGATGATGCAAGCTGCTTGCTGCTGGGACAAGTCTTAATTGCAAGACCAGTGCAGTCAAGAAGGGCTGGTCAGCATACTGCACGCTTCACCGTATTCTCCCCACGCACACCTCCATCTCTCGCATTGCTGCTCCCTGCAGTGGCGCACCCAGTTCAGGCGGCAGATGAACAGGGCAGAGTCCCAGGCCAGCAGCCGAGCTGTGGACTCCTTGATCAACTACGAGACCGTCAAGTACTTTGATGCCGAGGAGCATGAGAAGCGGAGGTGATACGGCTTGGAGTGGCTTGTGCATGTGAGGCTTCCTTGCCGGCACCACCTGCGCAAATCCAACAGGGTGCTTGAGGAAAGGTTCCCTGCCCAGAGACTTGACCGCCGTGCATCATCTGTTGAGTTGCCAAGTACCTCTCCAGCATGCTTTGATTCCCAGGCTCCAGACCACCATCCATCTCACCCAGGCCCTTGCTGCTCACCTGCGCAGATACGACGAGTGCATGGCGTCCTACCAACACGCAGCCGTGGAGACGCAGCAGTCACTGTCCTTTCTCAACTTTGGTCAGAGCGCCATCTTCTCCACCTCCCTAGCGGTGGCCATGCTCCTATCAGCCCAGGGCGTGGCTGCGGGGACGCTCACCGTGGGTGACATGGTCATGGTCAACGGACTCCTCCTCCAGGTGTGGACTTGTGGATGCGAGGTTTTGAAGCATGTGGGACTTAGAAGGTTCATGAGGGGAAGCAATGACATGGGCACTGCCTGGTGCTCTGTAAGAGTTGCTCACGTCCAAGCCGTTTTTGTCTTCAATCATACTCCCACAGCCTTGGCTGGGCGGCCTCCTCCAATGCTCGCACAGTGCTTCGCAACCACAGCAACTTTTCCTTCGCCACCCTCTGCGCAGCTGTCCATGCCTCTCAACTTCCTGGGCAGTGTGTATCGCGAGACCAAGCAGTCCTTCATCGACATGGGGGCCATGTTTGCACTGCTCCAGGAGCAGACAGCCATCAAGGACAGGGCAGGTGAGGCTGGGGGTGGGTGTATGTGTGGCATTCAGCATGTGAAGGCATGCTAAAAGGCACAGAAGGTGGCGTGTCGAGTCATCAGGGCGGATGAGCTGCCCTCTGACTATCTCCAGTGCCCTACCGCCTGCAGGCGCGATCGACCTGCCAGAGGAACCCAGTGGCTACGATCTCACCTTTGAGAATGTCTCCTTTGGCTACCGCCCGGATCAGCCCATCCTGCAGGCAAGGGATCGAGCGATGCTGTACTGTGCTGTTGGCATTGCCATGACATTCCTCCAGCAAGTTGCAGCTTCCTGGTGGTGTGGTGTCCCAACACTCGCCGGCTGCCGGCTGCCAGTTGTCAAGCACAGAACCCACCCCCCAGCATCCCCCCTGTCCTCAGGACATCTCGTTGACGGTACCGGCAGGGACCAGCGTCGCGCTGGTGGGCACTTCGGGTTCAGGCAAGTCCACGCTGCTCCGCCTGCTCTACCGCTTCTACGATGCGCAGGGCGGGACGGTGCGGGTGGGCGGCCACGACATCAAGGACCTGCGCCTGGCGAGCCTGAGGAGGCGCCTGGGCGCCGTTCCCCAGGACCTGGTGCTCTTCAACGACACCGTGCGGTACAACATCGCGTACGGCAAGCTGGGCGCCAGCGAGAGCCAGGTGGAGCAGGCGGCGCGGAAGGTGAGGCGCTGTGGTCGTTTGGAGCGGGGAAGCACACTGATCTGCCATGGGTGTCTCTGGAGATATGACCCCACGAGGCATGGGAATGCGCACTGTAGCTGCGGCGCCGGGGCGGCACCCCTCTCCCTCGAATTCACTTCACGACACATGATACAAACTTGCTGCATCCACACCCTGTGCTCCCCCTCAGGCCGCCATACACGACCGCATCCTCTCCTTCCCGGACGGCTACGACACCGAGGTCGGGGAGCGGGGCCTGAAGCTGAGCGGCGGAGAGAAGCAGCGCGTCGCCCTCGCCCGCGCTTTCCTCAAGGACCCCCCCGTCCTGTTGTGCGACGAGGCCACGTCCGCCCTGGACTCCACCACGGAGAAGGAGATCCTGGGCAGCCTCTTTGCGCTGGCGCGGGGCAGGACCACCCTCCTCGTGGCCCACCGGCTCTCCACGGCCGCCCAGTGCGACAAGATCGTGGTCCTGGAGCAGGTGAGACGCGTTACCTTGTTGGTTGCTGGAAGGGGGAGGGGTGTGGCGACAGAGGGTGTTGCTCCAAGAGGCTCGATGGGTTGACTGGCGTGTTGTTTCTCCACAGACAATATGCCATGCAATCGACTTTGGCTCAGGGGCGGGTGGTAGAGCAGGGCTCGCACGCCCAGCTGCTGGCTGCGGGTGGGCGGTACGCGGAGCTCTGGTCCCGCCAGCAGGCAACTGCGGACGGAGCTGGGGAAGGAGTCCCCGAGGAGCTGGAAGGAGCGATGCCGCTGATGCCTGCCTGAGAATTCTCGGTTGTAGGATGCCACGTGCACCAGAGGGCGATTTGAGTGGAGGGGCCCGGCGGAGATCCTCATTTGCGTAGCAGTTTCGGAACGGGAAGCTCCTCATCCATTGCTAATGGTAGAAAGCTATCATTATACCATCAATGAGCCTGGAGTCACAAGAGGCACGTCATGGTAAAACCTGACAAAGGGTGAATTGCGTTTGGATTCTTACCGCCAACCTCGACAGAGCGGCCCAAGACCATCCCGATAGAAACAAGAAAAGCAAAAGGCTAGATTTTCCTCCAACACCATCGAGTAATATCACGAAAGAACCCAAACTCTGTTGATAAGTTCCTGCAGAGGGAGCATTCACGTGCTGTCGTGTGAGGAGCATATATGTCGCAAGCCCAGATGGAGGAATGTCGGTCAACCCACGCCCAGATTGCTTCCCTGGAGGCCTCTAATGTGAGTACAGGTTGCCTGTTACACACTTCAGGGTGCCGTCGTACACCTGGCCTGCTGGTCCGATTGAGCCGTTTTCGGCCCCCACATCACCACGCATTGCATGTCTAAAACCCTACCAGGGGCCGGCCCCTCAGAGACCCCCACCCCCCACCCCATGGCATAGCTTGAGGGCCGGAGGTCAGCCGCTGCCCAGCAGAGCATGAGCATGCAGCAGCAGCTGACCAGTGCCCAGGCCTCTCTCAGCCAAGCTCGCGTCACTCAGGCTAAGGCGCAGAAAGACCTGCAGAGCCTGGACTCAGGACTACGTCCAAGCAACTGGTTTGCCTCCAGTGCGAAGAAGGAGGGCCGAGCACAGGCCGGGCAGGCGGCGCTGGACGCCGCCAACGCTACCGTGAGGCAGGCTGAGGGTGTGGTGGCGGACATGCAGTCTAGCCTGGCTCATGCTCAGAGCGAGGAAGCGCAGCTGAATGGACAGGTGAGAACGCTCTATGCTTGTATTGGTATATTGGTCTCCCAGGATCACCGTGCCTGGGCTTGAATGAGGGGAAGAGTGCGGCGGGATCTACTCGCATCATGAGGGAATGCGGCAGAGAATTCTGCTGAGAACCCGGGCATTTCGCCTGAGCCTGCTGGCAAAGTCGTCTCCCGAGGTCTGGCCTGTGCCCGCAGAGAGATGAAGGAAGACTCGTGATAGGTCGGAGGTCATCAACCCCTTGCCCTCCCGCCCGCAGGCTGCCTTGCTGCAGAGCCTGCGTGCCAGACGAGCCAGCCTGCTGGAGGCCATCTCCCAGTCGCCCTCATTTGCAGCCCATCCGGGCATGGCCTCCCTGTCTGCAGCCATCGCCGCCGCCCGCGCCGATGCCGCCCAGAACGCTGGCTGGGCGGCGCAGTACGCCACCGCCGATGCCGGGCTCAGGAGGGCCCTGAGCCTGCTGCAGGCGGCCCTCCAGAGCCTCAGTGGGGCACGCCGGGTCGGCACCGTGGGCTTGGTCCAGGTGCGGTGCATGAGGAAGCACGTGATGCTGCCCTTCCGCTCATGAGTCAGCACGATAGCCGTGTGTCCCTGTGTTGCACTTCTCTGGAGGGACCTCTGCGGCCGGCTGATCTGGCTGCCACGCCTGGCATGGGCCCGGTCTTCCTGGAGACCTGAGTCTACTGTATGCCCCTCGTGCGGCCCGGCACAATCGTCCTGGGACTGCGGCCCTGTGATGCCTCAAGCCCCCCACTCACCCCTCCCGTGCCGTGCAGGACGTCCGCCGGCGTCGTCGCACGGGGACCTCCCGAGGCGGCCCCATCACCGGCGACGTGATCCAGATGGTGCAGGTGCGCCGGGCCAACGGCATGGTCTCGCAGGCGGCCAACGAGATCCTGCGCGTGCATGCCGCGCTGCCCACGCTGCCCTACGTGGAGCCGGCACTGCTGCGCAACGCCTCGGCGGGCATCTTCGCAAACATGCTGGTGAGCAGCCTGGCCACGCAGGTGCTGTCCCAGTCCCGCATCGTGGGCAGCCTGCGGGAGGTGGAGAGGATGGAGGGGCAGGTGAGCCAGTGCGCGGGCTGGACCAAGGCGAATGCCGACGCCTTCAGGGGGAGGGAGGCGGCTGCTCTGAGCACCCTGGCCGCCAAGACCGCGGAGCTGGAGGCGCTGAGGCTCAGCCTCCTCCCTGCGAACTGAGGTGCGGGTTGCTGGGGACATTGATGCCTACTCCTCGGTCACTCCCTTGGTGCCCAAGGAGCTGTGTGTGAACTATATTCTCCGCCTGCCTGCTTACTCATCAACATTGAAGCACTGCGTCTTTATAGTGACCTTTTTAAGAACTGCACCTGAACTGTCCTGTGGGAGTGAGCGGCGAGATGATGCCAGCTTCTGATGAAGGTGGAATTCGATCCAGGGAACAAGATCGAAGCGCAATTTCCGGATCCCCCGGAACCTGCGGGGTGCCAACGCGGTGCACACAAGCCCTATACATGACACCTGCTGACGAAACCAGACATAAAATCTCTTAAAAGACATTATACTTCACACTCAGGCCTGCTGTTGAAGGTGTTGTGGACCCAACCCTGGCCTGTCACGTGCCCCTCTGCCGAAACTAGCCTTTCCGTACACTATACCCAAACCCCGACATGGCTGCAGCTGCCGCACCCCCGGTCATGGTTCAAGCCGCAGATGGCACACTTCCCATCCCTGGAGCCTCTGCGCAGTCGGCTAGCGGAGGCGCGCTGGCCCAGCAGGCAAGGGACACTCGCTCCCAGATTGAGCGCCTAGAAAACGCGCAGGTGAGAATCGGAGGGTTTGGTGCTCTTCGATCTTCTGTGCATTGGAAAATGCCCATGCTGATCGTGGCTGCGGCTCTTTGAGGATGCCATGGCGTGATCCTACTTTACACCCATTTCCGTACCACTGTGATGCCCTTCCTGGCATGCCTGATTGAGACCTGTCAATGACCTTGCTCCCCTTGTGCACTCACCCTAAAGGTGGAAGGCCGGCAGAGCCAAGCCTCACAAGCGTCTGAGAATGCCAGCGCAGCCCTCACCAGGGCGTCCCAGGAGGTTGCAAACCTGCAGACCCAGCTCGCCCAAGCCACTCACGATTTAGAGCATGCGGGCGATTGGGCTCCCGGAGCCCTGTTTGCTTCCAAGGCAAAGAAGGAGGAGAAGAAGAAGGAGCTTCAATCCAAGGCCGAAACCGTCAAGGCAGCCCTGGAGGCTGCTAATGCGGAGCAGAAGGCTGCCCAGCAGCGGCTCAGTGTTGCCCAGGCTGCCGAGGCGGAGGCCTCGGGGCAGGTGCGTACAATGGGAGGGCGACGCAGACCGGAATCGAACCTTCAACGCACTGGCACATGTCTCTCCCTGAACCTTCCTGAAACACATGATGCTCAGCCGTCACAGTACTGGACGTCAAGCATGAGTATTCCTCTTGCCTTGATTGAGGACCACAGAATTTCCCATTCCCAGCCCACCTGCCATCCCTGTGCACCCCCAGGTTGCCCTGCTGCACAGCCTGCGTGCCAAGCTGCAGACGCAGATGGACTCCCTCTTCGCCAACGCTGCCGCCGCGCGCAGCGAGGCGGAGCGCGCGCTGGCGGAGGCCGAGGCGGCCGCGCGCGCGGACGCCGCACAGAACAAAGGCTGGGCGGCGCAGTACACGGCCGCGGAGAACGGATTGCAGCGGGCACTGGGCAACCTGCAGGGTGCCCTGAAGATGCTGAAGACCGCTCAGATGGTCGGTCGCGTGGAGATGGTCCAGGTGCGAGGGGCCCACTGCGTGGGGCAAGCGGCTGGCCTGTCCATATGGCCGGGAGGTGCCTGAGATGTGCAATGGGCCTCGCCCAAGTTGGAGCAAGCCCGCAAGCCCCAGGCCTCATGGCGCTCGTGGGTCGACCAGGCGCCATGCTCTTTGGGTTGCGATGTGCCGCGGCCCCTCCCCAGTGGGACCCCCTCTCACTGCGCACAGGACATCGGATTCCGTCGCCGCGAGTTCGGCGGCCCCATGCGGCGCGAGGGCCTGCTGGGCGAGGCCGTGCAGATGGGCAACGTGCGCCGCGCCAATGACATGGTGGCCCAGGCCGGCGCCGAGATCCTGCGCGTGCATGAGGGCCTGCCCACACTGCCATATGTGGAGCCAGCCCTGGTCAAGTCGTGCACCGCCGGCATCTTCCTGGACGTGCTGGTGGGCAATCTGATGAGCGAGATGCTGATCCAGCAGCGCATCCGGGCTAATCTGGGCCAGGTGGAGAAGATGGCGGGGCAGGTGCAGCAGTGCATGCAGTGGACCCGGGCCAACGGCCAGGCCTTCAGCCAGCGGAGCCTGCAGGCGGAGGCGGCCGCATCTGGCAAGGCCGCGGAGCTCCGCGCGCTGAGACTGAGGCTGCTGGATGCGCTGTGAGGCCGGGTGCCCATCCCCTCCGGGAGGCCGCAGCCGCCCGGCAGCGGGCGGCGTCCTTGTGCCCCACTGAGACTGGCTCGCTCGGAGGAGCGGATCCTGGAGGGGCGAATCTCCCATATTCGAGCCGGCTGCATTGCACACGATCACACCCAGCGCTGGGTGTTTGCTTGTATGAAGATCCTGCTCCCATGCCTGACGATGAAGCGACGACCATGCATGACGATACTCGCAAGGTGCCGCCTTCCCATGGCACCTGTCTACTTTTGTATTCCCGAGACCTGAATGGCACTTTGAACTTCAGCATTGTGGTGTAATGTCCTGTCATGAGACGTGATGCACCGGTCAGGGGGTGTACAGCTTGATCCATGTCGGGATATCGCCCCTTCTTCTCCCACTTATTGAAAGTACCGGAGCGTACGACACTGCGAACAAACGCGTTTCAAAATGCCGGCAACCCCTTCTGTCCCAAGAGCAGCACATGCCGGCTTATTTGTGAATCAAATCCAACAATGTCTGTGACACGCGGCGCCGGCATCGTTCTGTTTGCATCCCTCACTCTCATGGGGCTGTCTATGAGCCGGGCGGAAAGCAATGGCACGCTGTTCGTCGTGGGCCAGGGCCAGGTATCCGCCGAGCCCAACATGGCCACAGTGTCTCTTTCAGTATCCAGCACCAACGATACGGCCTCAGATGCGCGAGAGCGGGCGGCGGAACTCACCAAAGCGACGCTGACCTCCATTCGTGGAATCTCGGGCATAAATCGAACCTCCGACATTAAGACCACCGACATCAATGTCAACCCCCAGATGGTGAGCTTTCGAAGGTCTTCTGATATACAAGGAACAACCCTCCCTGTCCTCTTCAAGGTGTCTCATGTCTCTGCCATGTCGTTCATGCTGCACCTCCACTTTTCCATTGTCCCCAGGTGTACAACTCCCAGACAGGAGAGAGCACCATCACCGGGTACACATTCTCTCAGAACCTCCAGGTAGAGGCACTGGTATAAGAGTATTATATTTGCAATGATTGACCCCACTGCAGCATGAGGAGCACGCAGCGGGCCCTCAGCCACAGGGGCGCACGGAGCTCTGAAAGTATGCATCTGTCCGAATTCCATGCTCTTCCCCTTGTAATTTCTGCAGGTCACCGTGCGCGACTTGAGCAGCGACCTTCTCTCCAGCGTAATCGACAGCGCGGTGCGTGCCGGCGGCAACGCCCTGCAAATCACCAGCGTGACGCTCTCGCTCAGCCCCACCGCAAGGAAGGCAGCCCTGGATGCAGCCCGCCGTGCCGCAGTGAGCGATGCACGCGACACCGCCCGGCTACTCGCCTCAGCCGCCGAAGTCACCTTGGGCCGCCCACAGCGGATTGAGGACAGCAACTCGACGCCAGCCATGCCAATTGCGTATGCAGCAGCTGGTGAGAGTTGAACACTAGGCTGAGAGGGGATGAGGCGGGTGAAGTGGGCTGTATCGCTTGTAGTTGCTGAAGTTGACTGCAAAGAGTCATCTGCAGGCCTTTGGTTCATGCAGAGCATCATCTTCCTCATGCACCACAGGCGCAATGGCAAGGAACGCCAAAGATACAGAGACTCCAGTGGAGCTAGGGACGCTGCAGGTCCAAGCCACCGTCTCCATCACATATGCAGTGGAGTGAATCGATGAGTGTGCATAAGAGTCCAATCAAAAGATGAGCCGTGCGGAATCACAGAGGCCCTAGATGAGTGTACAGTGACCTCCTTGCTTGTGTATTTGAAACTGATGGAGAGCGGCAGATGTGCTGGAATCCTCTGCGACTGTTTGTATTGCAACTTTCTCAGACTTGTTTCTGACCTAAGCTCTGTGGGGCAAGTAACTAGTTGTTTATGTGGCTAGTGTGCACCTGAGTAAATTGCAGGTGCAACTTGACATCCTAGCATGGTCCATGCAGCAAGGCACACACTTTGAGCTGTCAGTGCCGAGCAGCTCCGCCTTCGTACTGGTCTCTGAGAGCTTCATACTTGGCAATCTCATCCTCGCCCAAACTGGGCTGGAGCGTGGTGGCTGCCTGCAGGAAGTCTGCCTGTCGGACCATGATGGCCGACGCATTGCCATTCCCACCAGCCGGCAAGCCTCCAAGCTGAGAGATGTGCTGCTTGAACGCTGTCATCCACGCATCCGAGCACAGCGCATACATGTCAGCGCCCGTGAACTGCGGGGGGCAGGCCTCAGCGACAGCTGCAAGGTCCACGTCTGCATCCATCGTGAATTTTCTGGAGAGGGCTTCCAGCACCTTTTGCTTGGAAGACGGCTCAGCTGTTGGGCAGTGTGGGGGCAAAAGGAAAATGTAAGGGAAACCCACGCAGAATGCTGGGTTGATGGAGAATGCAAGGGGAAGCAAGCTTGCCTCTCGGGCAAGCCACTTCAGAACACCAAAATCTATCGTAGGCAGCCTCAACCCCACCCCCCTAACATCCCAACATACGAGCAATGCCAACATAGAGGAGTTTGTCCAGTCTCCCTGGTCGCAGCAGCGCAGCATCCAAGAGGTCGGGGCGATTTGTTGCTCCTATCAGGAAGATATCACCCTCTCCTGAACCTCCCTGCGAGAGGGATAGAGTGGAGACTTCAAGATCAGGGCACTGGGCCGGAGAATGTGGCTCGTCAACCCCGCCGACGTGATCGTCCATCAGCAAAGCCAGAGTGTATGGCAACTCTAACCAGCACCCTATGCATGCAGCAGCCCTTCCTCCTCATGCCCAAAGGAAGGCCCAGACACAGGAGCCTTCGACGCTACGGCACCTGAGCACTATCAATCTCTGCGAGAAGCTGCGCCACCACACGATCCATCACACCCCCAGAGTCGCTGCCCTTTCCTCTGGCAGGTGCGAGACTGTCCAGCTCATCAAAGAAGACAACACACGGTCTCGCTCGCTTGGCACGCTCAAACACCTGCCAAAGGAAGCAGGAGGATGGTCAAGGGCCCGTTCCAGTCGATTCAGAGAGGGCAGTGCAAGAACCCCTGGACAAAACATTATCAGCGAGAGTGCTTCACCTGTCGGACTTGACGCTCGCTCTCTCCGACATACATGTTGACCAGCTCTGGGCCCTTGACAGAGAGAAAATTGATGGAGCACTCTGTTGCCACAGCCTTGGCCAGCAGAGTCTTGCCCGTGCCTGAAGGAGTGGCATGCGGTGCTGGTGGCGGGTGAGTGCACCTGGCTTTTCGAATGCTGTGCACTCGATCACGAGCTCGGGAAGTGCCTTCATGACACCATCTAACGCATCACATACGGCATACACTGCCTGCAAGGCAAACTGATATCTACCTGGAGGCCCATACAAGAGAACGCCAGACCGTCTCCGCAAACCCCCGGAAAACAGCTCGGGGTGCTTGAGCGGCAGCTCCACTGGCATTTCGATGGGAGGCAGACATCAGTGACTTGTCTTTGAGCAGAAGGCCAGGAGTCACCAAATGAGAGCGGCATGCAATGCTCAAACACAGCATTGAAGGGCATTGTGATGCCATGCACTTTTCTTGTTTCACCATCTTCCTCCCTTGAACCATTCCCCAGCTGCCCCACCTGTGTCCAGGATGGCTCTCTTCACGTCCTCCAGGCCCCCCACATCCTCCCACTTCACCGAGGGGATCTTAGGCGCCCCTACATCCGAGGCAGCCATGGTCCGGACCCGCTCGACGGCGCGCTGCAGCGCCTCTCGCGTGATGTCCAGGGACTGATTGTCGCCGCGGGCCTCGGCCCCGGCAAGCTGGGGCTGTTCTGCAGTTGTGCTCGCCACACCAACTCCCTTCGCCGAGGTCGTCGTGCGCCCATTCAGGACGGCCTGCACGGGCAGGCGGTCGGCCAGGGCGTCGACGGCCGCGCCGGCAGCCACGGCGCGTAGCTCCCGCTGCGTCAGCCCCGCGGTGTGCTGGCCCACGTGCTGCAGCACCTCCGGCGCCAGCCCCGGCCGCAGGCCGCCCAGCGCGCACGCCAGCTCGGCGGCGCGCCCGCCCGCGTCGGGCACCGCCACCTCCAGCTCGTGCGTGAAGCAGCGCCGGAGCGGCGGTGCCAGCGCATCGGGGCGCTCCGCCGCAGCGCAGAGGACCACAGGGTGGTCGGCCGTGGCGTGCCGCCGCACGCACTCGGCGAGCGCGGCGCCCGCGCGCGCCGCGAAGCCGCCGGCCTCCCCCGCGGCGCCCAGCGCATCGACGTCCCGCAGCAGCAGCAGCACGGGCGCAAAGGCAGTGGCCATGGTGAAGGCGGAGCGCAGCGCCTCCAGCGCCTTGTCCTCGGGGATGTCGGGGGAGCGGATGCTGTGCGCGCTGACCTGGAGGGCATGGAACCCCGCCGCGGCGGCCGCGCGGAGGCACGCGCTGCGCCGACCGGCGCCGGGCGGGCCGTGCAGCAGCGCCGCCAGGCGCAGCGGCGTGCGCCTGGACCCCGGGTGCGCCACGCCGGCCAGCAGCCGCGCCAGCTCGGCCGCGGCGGGGGCCAGGGGGGCGCCCTCCTGCAACCTGGGAAACCCCAGCACGCTGGGGGGCGCGGAGGACCTGGCGCTCCCCTCCAGGACAGACTCGGTGGTGCCGGGGACGAAGAGCGCTGGGCCGGGGCCTGGCTGCACAGCCGTCACCCGGAGCAGGATGGGTGCGCCACCGGCCCGGGGCCTCCCCTCCTCACCCGGCACCGCGGCCCGCCCGTGCAGCGCGTCCAGCAGCAGCCCGGGCTCCGGGGCGCGGGCTCGCGGCAGGGCCAGCAGGTCGCCGCGTGCCACGACGCGGGGGGCCGCCAGGAAGTGGGCCTGCAGCAGGGCCACGACATCGGCGCCGTCGTCGTCGGCGCCGTCGTCGGGCGCCCCGCCCTCCTCCCCCGGCCGCTCCCCGTGCAGCGTCAGCACGTCGGAGGCCGGGACGGCCACGGGGGCGAGCGAGACGGAGGCCGCAGCCGGCACCGCGTCCAGCGGCGACCGGGCAATACGCACGTTGGGGCGGGCGCCTGAGGGGCACAGGAGGAGGCTCGTGTCCAGTGCTGCACCCAGATTGTGGGCCAGGAGGGGTTGCATGTAGGCCGTGTCGGGGGCGGCAGCGCTGCCGGGGCCCAGCGCCATGACGCGACCCAGGTGGTGCTCGGGGCGCTCGCCCGGGGGGCCATCCTGTGCATATACGGAACTCAGCTCCACCAGTGCTCCCGCAGGAATCTGGAGGCAGGTGTGGGGAGTGGAGGTGGGAGGAGAAAGGTCGCAAAGCAGGAGGACGGGGGCAGAGTCCAGCGTCCGTGGATGCAGGGGACCTCCTGCGACCCAGCAGAGGTACCTGAAGCCGGATCATCGTTTCGACGGCCAGACCCACTGCGATGGTGGGGTCCTGGGTGGGTCCACCACCAGGATCTGCGCTGGGAGAGTCCTCTGAAACCCCAGCTCCCAGGACGGCCATGTCCGCCACAGCCAGCGTCCAGGAGGTGGAGGGGTCCAAGCCCGGGAAAGGAGCAACCTCATCGGCGTTTCCAGCCTCGGCACAGTGAAGGAGGCGCAGACGCCTGGATGCGGGACTGGACAGGATGAGGGGCCCTGCAGTCCCCGACATCTCGTCCCGGCTCGCGCCAGGCGGTCCCCACGAGGAGCGCGATCGCAGAGAGGTACTATCTTAGAGGTGGTTGTTGGGATTTTATTAATGCATTATGTAAGTTACTCCCTAGAAGTATGAGGTGGACTTCCGCAAGTCTTGACGATTGCATGCAGCCAGCCACGTGGGCAGACGGCCCTTGCCCACTCCAGTGACACTTTAGGTCGCCATGCCTAAAGCAGGCGCGCCCAGGCCTTGATGCATGAACGACCCTTCGATTCTATGATCCAAGCCTCGCGGGACGCTCCTCAGTATCCTCCTCGGTATATTATCAAGTGCGGATGTCTGTAGTAGGGCGAGCGCGACCCAGACTCGCATGACGGAGGAGCCCGATCAAGGATTCGGCTGGATCCAGCAAAACTCCAAAGGACGCAAGCAGGCGGCATCGCGCCAGGTGTGATGGGAGTGACATACTATCCTGGTGAGAACAGGGTGCACCGGGACCCTGCTTCGCGGTCACCCATTCACATGTGACGGGCGAAGGATGAGAGCGACTCCTCCCTGACACATGGCAGTCTCTGGGCCGTGTGAGCGAGGAGCCACGGCGTGCACGTGGTGGCGGTCGCGGTCGAAGCTCGGGAAGGGGGATACGGGAGGCTGCTCCATTCACGGCGCCTAGGGGGACCACAGCTCGAGATGGACCACCTGGCCGCCACCACCCGGTGCCTGTCCTGAACGCACAAGCCCTGGCCGTGAGACCTGGGGTCAGAGGGGCCCAGCATGCTGGCCCCTCCTCCTCACCTCCAGGCCATGGGAGCTGGGCGGCTGTGCTCAGTCCGCGGGCATCAGGCTCCGACCAATCCGCAGGGCTTGCGTCGCCCAGGGACGGCGACTGCATCCCCGTCCCAGGCCAGGATTCCGCCTCAAGCCCCATGCGGAGCCTGGGCACACTGCCAGGCAGCGGCAGGCCTTGCCAAACTCCTGCGGGAGTGCTTGGCGGCAGCGGAGAGAGGCCGTCACTCTCTCCTACCTCCCTGAGCGCTTTGAAAGGAGGCGTAAGGGCTGACCCCACCTGCACGCCAACGTCATGGGCTTCCCTCCTGTCAGGAGGGGCTGCGACGGGCCCTGTTGCCGCAGAAGCTGCACCAGCACAGCCTGCAAAGCCTGCGTTGCCCGCACCCCTGGCTGAGCCCAAGGCTGCAGATGCTGACAGGGCAACTGAGCCTAAGGGACCAGATTCTGGCCAGCTTGGAGCAGTGGTGCAGCAGACGGCAATGTTGCATCTCGCTCAAGTGGGAGTGGACAGCCATGATGAAAGCCTGGATTCTCATGGTGCTGCGCCCTCTTTGCACCAGCAAGAGGAAACATCCCAGGCGCGAGGGCCTCGAGAGTATCTCGCCCAACCTAACAACGACCAGCCAGCAAAGAGCCCTGTGCCACCCATGGCCCCACCTCCGGCCTCCCTTGCCACGATGAACAGCAATGATCCTACCTACCCACCTCGCCCTCCTCCTCCAGCCTGGCATGTGAGCGGTGGAAGCTCACCGAACGCTGGAAGGGGTGCAGCTGTTGGACCAGCTGGGTTTGTGTACCAAGGCCCTGTGGGCCCTGGCGCCCCTTCCCATTGCCAGCATGCCGGTGCGCCGGCTATCCTCTACCCAGGTGTGTAGATGCGGTAAGAGACTCCCACCAGAGATGCACGGTGTTTGTGCTAGTAGTGTACCACTTTCATGCCCGGCCATCCCAGATCCCACTTCCCACTGGCCTTGATGTGCAATTGCACACTTCCAGCTCACCTGACCGTCTGGCTTCACTGCGTGTCTCTGCAGGTCCACCTCCTATGTACAACCTGCCCATTGTTCCAGGGCCGGTGGCGTTCATTCCGCCGCCCCCAGGTGTCCTGCCCTGGGATCCCCACCACCCGGTTCCTGGTGCGAATGAGACTGTGCAAGCGGGGGCGGTGCTCACTCAAGTGTGTGTCTTGCATCTTCCTGCATAATCATGGGCATCCCACACCACTTTGCAGGCTTGATTCACCCCCAGCTGGGGGGTGCGCCTCCACACGGACTGTACCCCATGGTCGTCTCATACACGCCCCCGCCACCCTTTGCACGTGCGTTGGCAGGCCCTTCCGCCACCGGCAGGCACCGTGGGCCAGGTTCGGGAGCTGTGAAGGGGGGCGGAGCTGCGGCCCCGGCGTCACAGCCCATCCTGCCTGGGGCCCACCCAGAGCGTGCAGCGACTGGGGCCGGTACGGCACCCAAAAACGGGGCGCCCCAGGAAGGACCAGCCTCGTCACAGCCTCCGCCAATGGATGCGGCCATCGACTCCCCTCGTGCGGCGTCATCAACTGGACCACCAGCGGCGGATGCAGCAATTGTTGGGCCTGGCTCTGAGGAGGATGGAGCGGCCAAGGAACCTCGAGCAGCGGAAGGTGCTGAGCCCATCACTGCATCCCGGGCCGCGTCTGGTGCTGCAGGAAGCTCTGACGATCCAACCCCACAGCTTGGTCCCGGCAGCCATCCTCCTGTGGTGCAGCAAGGGCCTCCCAAATCGTGGGCCGAGCTCGCTGCTGCCGCTGGACGCCGGCCCGGTAGGGCGAGGCCCCGGCCCTCCTCTCATGCCACCACGTGCGCCGCAGCTCAGCCCACGCCGCACCAGGCCGCACCAGCGCCTGGGGCGGGGAACGAGCAGAGCAGCAGGCCTGCAGGGGAGGCGACGACCCCGCGAACTGTACCTGTAGAGGCTGAGCCGGGCCACGAGGCCGCTGCGCCTGCAATCGAGCGCACAGGGCCGACGCCCTCGGACGCCGGCGCGGACCACCCTGCGCAGGCCACCGGGTCAAAGCTCCCCGCCGCCTCGACTCGGCTGCAGCAGCTCTTTGCGAGCAGCGACTGGGTGGCCTCAGCAGCAACGCGGTACGAGCCGCGGGGCCTGCTGAACCCGGGCAACCTCTGCTTCGCCAGCGCCACGGTGCAGGCGCTGCTGGCCAGCCCCGCGTTCTGCAGCCTGCTCTCTGGACTGGCTCGGGAGGGGGCCGAGTCGCTGCCCAGGAGCGTGTACCCCACGCTGGCGGCCCTTGCCGAGCTGGCGGGCGAGCTGCAGCCTCTGGGAGGTGAGGGGAAGCCAGGGACGTCGGCTCGCTCCCCGCCAGGGCCCACGCTGGTGGGCAGGAAGCTGGCGCCGCCGCCCCCGCCCGCCGGAGGCAAGCCCCCGTCCAGGGGCGAGACGGGCGCCGCCTCCCTGCTCGCTGGAGGCGCGCCCTTTGTCCCCGGCATGCTGGCCGACATTGTGGCCGTCTTCGCGCCCCTGAACTGCACGGGCGGCGACCAGCGGCGGGAGCAGCAGGATGCCCAGGAGTTCCTGACCTTCCTGGTGGACAGCATGCATGCCGAGCTGTCTGCGCTGGCGGAGACGCGGGGCTGGTCCCGGTGCGAGGCGCAGCCCGGCGGCTCGGCGCGCGGGGAGGACGACGGGGAGGAGTGGCTGACACGGAGCGGCAAGAGGAACGTGCGGCGCGGGGAGTCTGGCGTCATGGGAGGGGCCAGCCCCGCCACGGCCCTGTTCCAGGGGCGGATAGCCTCATTCGTCGCGGCCAGTGGTGCGCCAGCCTCCGTCACGCTGCAGCCCTTCTGCGCGCTGGGCCTGCACATCCTCAGGCCGGGGGTGAGACGGGTGGGTGGGTGGGTGGGTGGACGGACAGCAGGCACTGCGTGCCGCGGTGACGGCCAGGGAGGTATCTGCCATGCATGTCGAAATGTGCCCAGAAGCACCTGCATTGTTATGAGCAGGCAAGGGCCCCCTGGACCAGACACACGACGGTACTCCTTCCCTATGCCCCTGCCCCAGATCCAGAGCGTGGTGGATGCCCTGGAGGACCTCACGGCGGCTGAGACCGTGGCGGGGTACAGGCCGTTCCCCGGCTCTCAGCCAGTGAGTGCAACCAAGACCCTGCGCCTGCAGACCCTGCCCTACCTCCTGACGCTGCACCTCATGCGCTTTGAGTTTGGCGGCAGTGCTGGGGACGGAGCCAATAAGGTGAGGGAATGGTGCTCAGCTGTCTATGCGGGCTGCACTCGGCAGGGATGCGTTTGTCTCGCCATTCCTTGCCATGCGCTCAAGGGCTTCCTCCAATTATGAATGCGGTGCCCTTCCTCGTCATCGAGTGCCTTCCAGGTTGGGAAAAGGGTGTCCTTTGAGCCATACATCACCATCAAGGGGCAGTGGCTGACATCAGACAGCGGTGATCATGGCGCACTGTACAAGTTGATCGCCACCGTGAGCCACCGGGGGGCCGAGAGCAGCTCCGGGCACTACACGGCGGATGTGCTGCACCCCAGTGGCAGGTGCGACTGTGGCGTTGCAGGGTATCTAGAGCGCAAGGATGCAGAGCATAAAAATGCTGGGCCAAGTGCCATGGATCCAGTTCCAACAAAGGTCCTCAATGAAATCCTGAGAATGCACTTGCTGCTTTGCCACAGGTGGCTGCGATTCGACGATGGGGACGTCCTGGGCGTGAGTTCCCAGCAGGTGTTCACGGACCGACCATATCTTCTGCTCTATCAGAGATTGACAGAGGAGGACAAGGCTGCGGTGGCGCGACGAAGATGAAGAAATTGCCTCATCAGCTCGTGCTTTGCGTGGGTTGGCACCATGTCATGCGCAGCATGCAAATAACTGTGAACCTACTTGTTCGACTTCTGCACATTGTCCAGCCGGACAGCGAGAGCGCAGACCACTGACGTCCTCGTGCGACACCATGCCAAAAAGGAAAACACCAGCCACGGGATACAGCGATCTCAGCTGCAGCGAGGTCCTCCTCGAGCATGGAACGCGAAGAGAAAGGTTGGCGACCTGCTTGCGGCTGGGTTACGGCGTGGCAGCAATATGCAGCAAAGTCGTCGCTCCATTGGATGCCACTCACAAGTAAGATCTTCGATGCATTATTTGCTCAGTATTTGTGATTGCTGGTGTATACGTCGGGAGCATTCACGCAACCTTTGTACCCGAGCTCTTCCCTTTCATTCCAGGTGCCACTTCGAGCCCATGGACCCTTTAAGCCTTCGCAATGCCCATTCGAAGGCCAAAACGGCTCTCAATGCAGTTCTGCAGCTTGGGAGGACTCTTGGACAGCTCGAACAGCTCAGTCGCCTCACGGTGGTAGCCGAGGACGGGCCTCAAGCCCAGCTGGCCTGTACTTTTGAAGCTGTTACAAGTACCTATGATATCCTTGCCATACAACCCCAGAATGAGAAGACGCTGGCATTGGCATGTACCAGCCTGCCAGTGGACATCATCTCCCTGGATCTCACCAAGCGATTGGCATACCGGTTCAAACCCAGTACCATCGCGGCTGCCATGGCTCGTGGAGTGTATTTTGAGGTGAGTCCCATAGATGCAGCTTCAGGAGATTTTCGTTGGGCTTCTCAGTCCGCCCATTGCCTCCCATACTCTCATCTGTGCGTTTTCAAAGGTATGCTACTCGGCGCTCTTGCGGGATTCAACCACTCGAAAGCAATTCATCTCTAATGTTGCGGCTCTGGTTCGCGAGACCCGGGGGAGGGGCATCCTTCTCAGCAGTGGAGCCAGAACTGTACTCGATCTCAGGTGAGACGTCCTGACTTTATATGTCCTGTTCTGCATTCTTTGGTATCAGAGTCCTTGAGGAAGGCGCGTTTTTGCGACAATCCCTTCGCATCGCTCCCTCCCCTCATACAGGCGGCCTGTGGATGTCGTAAATCTTGGAGGTTTGCTTGGTCTCACACAGCAGCAGGCTCAGCATACCGTGACACGGGCTCCACAGGAGGTTCTAAGACATGCACGAGCACGCAAGGCGCATAGAGGAGTTCTCTCCGTCACGAAAGCAAACCCTAACGACATTGCTGAACTGACCCCAGACATCTCTGTGGTGCACCCCTTCGGGGCCGCCGCGGGCACGACCAACCCTAGAGCTGTCAAGAGGACGTTCTCACAGCTACACGGTGTTGCCACCTGAGCACTGACTGTCTGTGATCTCATAAAGCTCCCTTTATATTATACAGTCTGATCATGACATTACATACCTTATACTCACATTCTGTACATGCACATCTCGAGGGTCCATGGAGGCCAGCTATATGGAGAAGTCCAGAAACTTCCTGGAAAGCAAGCACGCGAGACATAGTGACACGCAACCACATCAGTACTTTCGTTGCTGAGTTGTGTACACGACCGTCTTCTTCCCCTTCCCGCCGCTTGCTTGCTTGCTGTGAGGCGGGTGGGAGGCCGACCAAGTCACTCGTGTTCCCTCTTGTTGTGCCCCCGGCGTCGCTTGCCTTTTGGCCCAGGCTCCTTGAGGGCTTGGCACAGATGGGACACTGGCCCCCGGCGAACGTGCCGATGACAGCTCTGGTCCAGACGCCGTAAATCCTTCTCGGGTCAGGCGAGCATAGGATACTCCTCCCTGTGCCACCGTCGCAGATGTCACGATAGCACCTGGGTCGATCCACAGCTTTGGCTCGCCCCCCCACTCCTCTATAGGCGGAGCAGCTTGTGGCACGGGGTAGGCTGCTCTGGCGGCAGCCTCGGTAGCAGCCATGGTATCCCGACGCGACTGATGAGCGGCCTGTTTTGCGAGCCGTGCCCTCCGAGCAGCGCGGAGCTTAAGGCCTTCTGAGAATGCATCCAAAGTGTCTGCGGAACAGCAATCACTGAGGTCCAGCTCACACAGCCGAAATGTTGCTGCGGGAGGGGTGAGTGAGATGGAGGTTTGTGCCCTGAGGTGAGTTTTATATGCAGGCCCAGACTTCCGACCAGGCCAGAGAGTGACCGTGGGTTTACCCCCACGACGCACTGACCTCCAAGCGGGAGATGGGAGAGTGCTCTGTACCGCCTACGGGACGCCTCTGTCTGCGTGATGTACTCCAATTCCAGGAGTCGGCCATGCAGGCCGGTGGGAAGAGGCGTGGCTGTGGCCTCCGCTTCGTGCAACAGCATGCGCATGTTGACAGGGCTCAGAAACACCCATTGACCATCTGCGATGGGAGGGCAGGAGGTTATTTTTTGTGTGGTTGATGCAGAGTTTGCAGGCAGGACATTGGGGTTGACCTCACTGCGGTCACCTACATTTTACAAATAAAACGAGGATTTCACCAGTCTGTCAGGCTGGAACTTCGTTCAACCCTATGGCAACCTACCATCCGACTGGAAGCTTGCATGCAATGCAGTGCTGCCGGCGACCAGCGACTCCACGCCCGCCGTGTCTGTTTGCTCATTGCCGTCAGGTCTTGGGCTGCTCTCGGCAGCTGCTGATCCTGATGCTTCCGTGCCAGGATCCTGTCGTGATGCATCGCTCCTTCCATACAGGGTCTCTTGCTGGGACGCCTCCGAGGGAAGAGAAGGAAACTGCTGCTGCAGGCGAGTGGCAACCACTGTTGCTCCCGTGACAGATGCTCCTGCCTGCGAATTATCAGACAGGGACATTGCTGACAACCCTGGAAAGAGATGCAAAGTTGGTGCATTGTCTGTCACCTCACCTCGCCCTTGCCCCCGCACCTGATCCACTTGACGAGCGGCCTGGGCTCCGAGTTTCTTGGCTGCAGCAGCATCCGCTTGAGAGATAGCGCCGTCAAAAGTATGCTTTCGGATGCTCTGATGCTCATACCATTGGGCAGCCTGCTGACTGACAAATGTAGCAGACTGGCGGATGAATGGGGCAGTAAAAGCAGCTTCCAAGCCACCTTCGGCCTCAGCCTTGGACAACCATTGCAGGGAGGGAGGGTGGATGGCATGTTTGTCGATGAGCAGCTCACACAGTTTGTCATGGGATCTCCTCGACAAGCAGACCTTGACATGCACCACCAGGCTTGCCTCACACCTGACACGCCATTCGGCACAATGCCGCGGCTTGCTGCTGAAACAGCGGCAGAGGATCGGACACTGTAGTAAACCTTTCAAATGCATGGCACGATGGTAAACGAGCCTCGAAGCTGGCACTCCCAGTCCTTGGCATGCTCGCCCAATTGCGGGTAGCAACTGGGGGCTGCATCTTTGCGGTAGACTCCACTGAGACATGAAGCTCTTGTGAACCATTGGCTGCTTCACTGAAGAAGTTTCGAGATACATCCCCTTTGGCTGGAGATGGGGAGCGTCTCACCATGTGCATGTCCTTGCCCACCTGCAAAAGAAGATACCAATTTTGAGAAGAGACCTTGAATGGGCGGGACCCTCACGCTGTGGATACATACCGTGTCTATGGCTGGCACAGTCGCTCTCAAAGGTCTCACCTGGAACGCCGCAACGCGGCGGATGGATGCACTTCGCAGGTCGAGCTTCTTAATGAGACTGAAGCACAGTGGACACCGGAAGGTGGCGGGGCCCTCGTTAATCCCTCCCATGTGCTGCATGGAGAAGAGGCGACCCAAAGTTAAGGAAAGGACAGGAACTATGGTCCAATAGACACATGACGAGAACATCCACGCAAGATCATCACTGCGGGGCTGGTGAGCTTGATTGGCACCGCATGCCACTTCATCACGAAGCGTGGCCCCCCTCACCTGGACGATGGCATGACAGCTGAAGACATGGCCGCATGGCGTGATCTGGGGGCACACTGGCATCTCCAGCGTGATTGGGCACACCAAGTCTTCGCTCGTCAAGACCTCGACCTAATAGTGGTGCGCATGAGCTCCCGGACACTGTGACTCAGAAATGGCCAAGGACAATGCATGTGCCGCAAACTCAGTCCACAACAGTCACACCAACCTGAACGACATCTGCCCACAGCGTATCCAAGTCCAGATCCCAATTTGAGAGGTGGGGCAGCACCACATCAGATATTAGAAACCTTCTTGTGGGGAAAGGTGGGACGTGACAAGGACAAACATGGCAGCTTGGCACTCATAACTTGGCTTGGCTTAAAATCCGCAGGCACAGGAGAGCCAGTCCAAGGCTCCATCGTACCTGTGGTTCACATGTGCCGCATAGGCTGCCCTCCTTGTCGATCGATTTGGAGCTGGAAGCTGCCGTGGCCGACTAATCTGGGAGATCTTCCATCAAGAGAGAAAGGGGGTCTGAGCAATGCAAAGCTGTCATGCGGAAGGAGTATGTACCCTTCGAAATCCTTCTCACCATCTCAAGCCGGAGAACCACTACTCCCTGAGAAAAGGCATCACCTGTGGCCGTGGAGCATACTGAAACTTCAGAAGCGAGGCAACAGCCTTGCCCGTGGTCAGATGCGGGCTTCCGGGGGACAACCCACTTGACCTTTTCCATGCGTCAGACTGTTTGCCCTGGGCCTGCGAGTACAGGTAGGGGATCGACTCCTGTTAAGGTGACTGAATATCCTCATCATCCATCTACCTATTCAGCAGCTCGATGTCATCATCACCAGTCAAGGTGAACACGAGCGTGATGGACATCTCATCACCTTGTCAGGTACTCTGGCTCCTCTGTTTATTTCCACTGGAGCAGACCCTGGCAACAAGGGTGGTAGCGGTGGTGCCTGGGACATATAATGGGGCCAGCTTCACAAGCACACCTTGCCAAGAGCACAAGGCCGAGTACCTGCAGGACTGAATTCGGCAGCATTCTGGTTCAGCTGCTTTTCATATTTGGCCCTCCCACGACCTAATTGAGACTCAGAGTGCCGATCGCGCTCTCCTGGTAAATCTTGAGAGGCAGACGCCGACATCTCGTGAGGATGCTTAGGGCTGTGGAGGATGCAGGTTGGGCATGCCCGAGATCATCACGAGGGGGAGCCTCTGCCGCACAGAGTACATTCCAAGGAGCTTTAATTGATGAGGACGCCGTTGGGTTTTATCATCGTGATCAATGTCCCAAGGCGAGGTCCCACACCGAATCCCAACAATGGCCGGGAGTACTTCTCGCGCCCTCTTCCAAGCGCACATGCCGTGAAAGAGACATGGCTGCACATCGCTGGCGTTTGCAGGACAACATCGCGCTGAACAACTAGATCCGCAGCACCTAAGCAACCCAGCTCGACTGAACCATTTCATAGTCGGTGGGGCTGCGGACAACCTGCAAGGCTGTCCAGGAGACTCCCATGTACACCGGCGGACGGCGCACGCCATGCACTCTGAGAACCAACAGAGCGCTGCCTCTTGCCTTCATTCCCCCGGAGAAGAGTCTCGACCCCACTGGTCCCTGCACTCAACTGCCTGAACTTGCTGACTGCGGAAGGTATCTTACAGACCATCTATGGATGGCTCAGGAAAAGGGCAATATGCACTATTTGGTATGCCAAGCTGCCACACTACACGGTGCTGGCAAAAGGGTCATGGTTCACATGCTGTGAGGTATAACGGTGGGATCACTGGAGAGATATGGGCTGGACTGTGAGGAAAAACTTCCCAAGAGCAGCCATTACGACGAAGCTACACTCAGCTTTGAGCTACGCCGCTGGAGCATGGGAGTCCGGGGCTCCCATCGTTTTGGGGGCAGGGACTCAAGGTCTGAGCTCACACCTGTGTTCGCCGTCAAGCTCTTGGACAGCGCCCAATCAGCGGAATCAAAGTGCTTGCTGGACTTCCGCTGCTGTAGGAGAGCCCTCTTAGGGGCCAGCCCGTTGTACTTGCTCAAGAGCCTCGCCTCTTGAGCAAGCTCTTGGTGCGTCTCGGCAAGGTCGACGTGCTGCAATATGGGAGAGGGTGCATGTCGAGTGTCAGTGCTCGAGATTGCGGTACGAGGCGGTGGGATCTCACCCACCTCAGACCCAACACAAGGGATTCAGCGCATCGGAATAGGTGACACGTCAAGGACGTAGCATTCGGACTTGAGTCTGCAACCGAGTGGAGATAATGCCCGTGGCGCTGCACACCTGGGTGCACATTGCAGGCAGGAGGAGCACGACCCAGCTGGCGAGCACTCCTTGAAACCAGATATACCCCGCTCGAGCTCGGGTTGAGGTTCAATTAAGAATGTGCATGATGTAACAGGTCGCATATGCTCAGATATTTTTTTGGCGTGGCAAGGGTCTTATTGTTTTTGCCAATCCCGGGAGCACCGTGCACAAACGACGGAACGCCCGTGCTAGGGAGCAGACCAAGACGCACCAGCGACTCGACACCCGCATCACATCGAAAGGCCTCACTCTCCCAGAGCTGGTGCATCTGGTCCCTGCAAACCACCCCTGGACTAAGGTTTGAGCAGGATTGCTCTGTGGGTGGCTCCGTGCCGGAACCCTCCCAGTCTCAGTACGGCACATCCAACCGGCTGTGGCCCCATTTAACCGGCCGGAAAGACATGCACAACTGATCTGGCTGTTCTGGCAGGGTCGACAGACATCCAGTAGCCGGGAGGGACCATCTCCGTGGAACTGTCACTCTGGACCCACGCCCTGCAACGTCCGGGCTCGGGGTTCCCATCTGACCCGGATCTGTACTCGAATATTTGCATCCAAACCATAGCTCAAGGGCTTGGTATTCTTCGGGTGTGGCAGGTCATCGGGTAAGGCTCGCCAGGGGCACAGATCCTTTTCCTTCCTGTGGGACTGAGAGGCATGATGGGGGAATTGTGCCCGTCGCTCCTCAAATTCATCCATACACGAATGCAGATGGCACAGATGGAGCAGAAAGACTTCTTCGCGGAGGCCACGGAGTCACAGCGGTACAAGATCACGGAAGTGATAGGGAAGGGCAGCTATGGCATTGTGGCGAGTGCAGTCGACCAGTTCACAGGCAAGTCGTCTGGCTGTGGTCTATCCTCCCCAGACTTACTTCTGTGTAATGTTTGCACGATATATTCCCTTCCATTGGTCATGCAGGCGAGAAGGTGGCCATTAAGAAGATCACAAATGTCTTCGATCACGTGTCGGATGCCACCCGCATTCTGCGAGAGATTAAGTTACTCCGCCTGCTGAGACATCCAGGTGCGTATTTCCACTAGAGATTAGATTCCAGCGCTTGTAGCAGCTGTCCCCTGGTCTCAGAAGCACTCTGTACCTCCCATCCTGACCCCTTGCCTCCCCCGGTGCTGCAGACATTGTGGAGATCAAACACATCATGCTGCCACCCTCCATGCACGACTTCAAGGACATATACGTCGTGTTTGAGTTGATGGAGACCGACCTCCATCAGGTATGTGAACATTCTGTGTGAGAGGACCTTGGCTGGGGCGAGGTGGGAAAGCAAGATGTGACAGGGGCATGGGGGGGCCTGCTTCAGTTCTTCTGGCAGGGGTGTGCGCCAGCTGGTTTGTGGCTGAGGCATTCCAGTCTCATCTGCACAGGTGATAAAAGCCAATGATGATTTGACACCAGAGCACCACCAGTTCTTCCTTTACCAAATGCTGCGAGGTCTTAAGTACATACATAGCGGTAAGTGTGTTGGGAAATTTTGGATGGCGGCAGGGCCCGACTTGCCCCCACGGTGTGTCGGTGGTGTCTTCCTGCTTTGAAAACGGTGCGACCCTATCCCCTACCCCCACGGTGTAGCTAAAGTCTTTCATCGCGACCTCAAGCCCAAGAACATCCTGGCAAACTCGGACTGCAAGCTGAAGATCTGCGATTTTGGACTGGCGCGACCAGCCTTCAACGACATGCCACAGACCGTCTTCTGGACAGACTATGTGGCGACTCGGTGGTACCGTGCACCCGAGCTCTGCGGCTCCTTCTTCACAAAGTACACGCCTGCCATCGACATTTGGAGTATTGGTTGCATCTTTGCAGAGATTCTCCTGGGAAAGCCCCTCTTCCCAGGCAGGAATGTGGTTCACCAGCTGGAGCTGATCACTGACCTGCTGGGCACTCCTGCCCAGGAAGTCATTGCAAAGGTGGGATCTCCGTTTCCTCGATGCAGCTGTTGGTTCGAATGGAAAATCGGGCAGGGGACTCGGGCTTCGACCGAGGTGGGCATGCCCATCCCTCTGCTGTTGGTATTAGCACCCGGGGTCATACTGAGGGCTCCCGCTTGCTCATGCACCTACCCATCCTTTCCTTGGAGTTTAGGTGCGCAATGAGAAGGCCCGAAGATTCTTGCTCAACATGCGGAAGAAGCCCGGCACGTCGTTTGAGGCTTACTTCCCGAAGGCTGACAAAGGGGCTCTTAAGCTGCTCAGGCGCTTGCTGGCTTTTGATCCCGCCGAGAGACCCACCTCAGGTGTGTTTTGGGAGGATCGAAGAGCAGCATGGCTTTGTGAGCGTAGCTTCCAAGTAAATGGAGCCTACCTGATTCAGACGAATGAGGAGGACTCAGGTATACTTTATCGGTGTTGCTGTGAGCAGGCCTCATTTTGGCACCGCTTCATCCTCGGTACCCTTTGCAGAGGAGGCCCTGGCCGACCCATACTTCCATGGGTTGAGCCAGCCCAGTCGCGAGCCCAGTGCACAGCCAGTGAGCAAGCTCGCATTCGAGTTTGAACGGCGCAAGCTGAACGTAGATGAGGTCCGGGATCTCATCTACCGCGAAACGCTGGAGTACCATCCGCAGATGCTGGCCGACTACATGGCAGGCGGTCGGCGCCAGCCAAACTTTGTCTACCCCTCGGCAGGTCCGTACGTGCTCAGGGCTGACTGTCCAGGGTTTATTTGCGATGTAATGATGTGGGGATGCATCCTTGACATGCAC